TGAAGGTGTCAAAGGTTCTAATTCAAGAAGCGGTCGTCCCATTGGGAAAGAAGAAGTTTTTTACCTTGGTGATATTGAATGGATCCAAGCTCATAGATATGTGATCAATAGTTTATCAATTGTTGAGGACTATAAAAAGTAAGTGTAAATTTTTTTGTTTTAATAAGTGTTAAATTTTTCATTATGTTAAATCAATTATTGTATTGTTCCAGGGAACACTTGCGTGTACTTAAGCATGAAAATCCATGCATGTCAAGTTACAATAGGGAGAAAATTCACAGTGAAACTTTTGATGATTGGTTTAAAGCTAAAGTAAGTTAATACTTAATCCTTATATAAATTTGTAATTATTATGTAACATGGTTTTTATATCTAAGGTCTAATCATGTTTTTCTATTTTGGTTTAATTTTGATAGGTTAGGGAAATGGAGCAAGCAAATGGTTGTGATAGTATTCATGAAGACATTCGTCACTTGGCTGTTGGTCCAAGCAGATGGGTTAGTCGATATTCCGGGTATGTCGTAAATGGCTTAAGGTTTCACACTAAACAACGTGAGATGAGAAGGAAAACTCAAAATAGTGGAGTATTTGTAAGTGCAACCACAAGTAGCTTTTCAAGTACTAAGGATAAAAATCCTATTACTGGAGATGTATCATTTTACGGTGTTTTGAAGGATATCATTGAACTAAGATACACTAGCCATCTTAAATTTGTGTTGTTCAAGTGTGATTGGGTAGACTACAATACTGGATTGCGGCATGAGGAGATCAATTTCACATTAGTCAATTTTAACCATTTGTTGTATAAGCAGAATAGAAAAACTGATGAGCCGTTCATTTTAGCTTCTCAAGCCCAACAAGCTTGGTACATTGAAGATCCACATAATCCGAATTGGTTTGTGGCTTTGAAAATGAATCCTCAAAGTTTGTTCAATATAGATCCTGAAGTTAATTTTGTTAGCGAAACTGAAGATGATAGTTACATTAACAACCCAATGTTGTGGATATTGTACATAATGACACATTGTGGGCTAGAGCAGATGTTGAAGGGGTCACACTTGACCCCCCAAGTCCCAAGGCTAAAAGGAGTCGCCGCTTTGGTGAAGTTGACCCTAATGATTTAAGCTCAAGTGACAAAGAAATAATGTACACTAGCGATGGATCTGATGCTCCAAGTGATGATGATGACTTTTTTGAACAAAGAAATGTGGCAAATGAGGATAGCGAGGGTTAATAAGAAGGTTTGTACTTTATATCTTGCTTAACTTTTAACTTGATTTTTGTTTTTGTTTTTCTTACATGTTTAATCATTCGAATGTATTAGATTGTGAAGACTAGATTTTATGGTTTCGATTCTTGATTGCCCCCTCTCAATAAAAAAATCTTGTTAGGAGCAGTGAACCTAATATATGATGCAACTACAACCTTGGTTTTTTGTTACTTTTTCACATTATGCTTGAGATTTTACATGTGCGAACTTGAGCTGCACCCAAATTCCATCGAATTGGCAAATTTAAATTCAACTCTACTGCATCTTGGCTGCCCTGTGTATTGCCTTTTTTTTTATGTGCTTGTCAAGCTAGGCTCATTAGTTTCAATCATTTTTTAGAGTTTCCTGAATCGGAAAACTGTGGTGCTAAGTTGTAACCTTGTTGCTTCAAGAATTACTCTGCATGTAGGCAAAAAGGTAAGAGTACGGCATAATAACTGGATAAAACAATACAATGAAAATGTAGCAGTTAGTTATTGCTCTGTGGATAAATTTGAAATTTTTCCTACTCTATTGCATGAATCGTGGTGTTTATATGTCACTTTTGTTGTAGCATACATCGATGTGGTATCATATTTTACCGTTCTAAACTGAACTACTTTGGTTAATGATGGGTCTGATTTCGCCTTAGGTGCAGCGCCGAAGCAGCTTCCTCAGAACTGGAATATGCATTGCTAACAGTTAATGAATGGAAGATAAAGAGTATCGGATTATATTGATGTCATTTGGGATGGCACCAGTTCTATGTATCAATGACCAACACTAGAGAAGTGCTAAACTTGTTGTCTACAAATGATATAATTTTATATAAGTTACTGAAAACAATTCTTCCTCTTGATTATTTGTGGAACCATATTGGCTTAAATTGACTCCTTTTGATTATGCATTGGTACGACTCTTCTTGGTTAATAGATTCAAATCCCTATTTCCTTATGCTCATTTGATGACATGGCTTGCTTCTTCTTTTTTAGAAAAAAAAAATGGTTGAAATATTTACTTTATCAAGTATTGTTGAACAGGACCTTCGACAATATTTTAGAATAAATTCAATCACAAAATTTTGGTCAACTTTAATGATTAGGTATATTGATCATAAGGAAACAAATACTTTATAGGTTGAAGAAGTAAACCAATCAACCTAAGTGCAAACCGGGGTGAGTTTGAATTAGATAAGAATTGTTTGTAATGATTTCAAATTTGTTCGATTTATAGCAAAACTTGGATCACAAAAATAGAAAAATGATAAGTTTTTGGTCATGATGGAATTTAAGAATTGCAAAAAAAAAAAAGAAGGTAGATTTGTATGGTTTATATATAAAAAACAATTTGTTAAAGTGATGCAATGCTTATGCTGGGATATTGAGACCTCAAAAGTTAGTAACGCAAAATCGAGGCAATTCTATTAAATACCATAAACATGACACAAACTCGCGACAAAAATAAAAATGTGTCGAAAATTAACGACACTTTAAGTGAGTGCAGCAAAGAAATGACGTTAATTTGTGGCAGAATAATTTAATGTCACAAATTAGTGGTATTTTTATCGTATGACGCTGTAGCGCCACAAATATGCTGTAAATAGAAAAAAAATGACGCTAATTTGCGACACTTCTCTGCAATAACCACTTTTAAATGTGTCGCCAAAAGCTATTTTTCTTGTAGTGGGATCCCTTACATTCCAAAGATGAAAAATGGTGCCCCGGTGCTTAAAGAGATTGATGGTGAGTCTTGCCCCACTTATGCTTTTGAAGTTTGATGACTTAGTAAAGCGTAAAGCCGTTGAGTACTGGAATTCATATTTCATTATGATAAACTCCAGTCAAGCCTACAAGATTCATGAAGAATGGGACGAAGTTGTATTCAAGGGAGGCGCGGTGGTTTCTTACTTCAGCATTTTTTTTTTATTTTTATTTTTATTTTATTTTTTTGAATTGGACTTCAGCATTTGGTTGCATCAGTCTTAAATGATCTTGAGGGTATGTTTGTTTCATTTTTTTTTAGTGTGTGTTTTTAGGTGTTTTTTGTATTGGGAATGTAAAAAGGTGTATTAGAAATTTAAAAAGATATGTTGGGATGCGAAAGTTATTATTATAATATTCTAGAAAAAACCATGAAAAAACGAAACAAAGAGAGCAGTTTTTCGGTTTTTATTTTTATTTTTTATTATTATTATTTTTATGGTCTGGAGACAAGACTTATTTAAGGGAGAGAGTTTGTCATGATTTTCCGTTACTCTAATAATATTAAGTAGATCTAGAAGGACTGAATTATTATTTTTATTTGCTATATAGGTTATTTAACATATAAGCGATGTAAAGGAGTTGATCAAATGAATGAAATTTTCTGAGATCAGTCTGCTTCCTTTAATTCTTTTCCCCAACTTCTTCTTCTTCTTCATTTCCCTGGGTCTAAATCTCACCTTCTAAGATTTGAAATATACTTTCTTAATCCCTAATTTTCCCCCTTCAATTTCTTTTCTTAAAAATTCTAATGGGCCACCTTAATTGCTATATTTAAAGGGCCTGATTGTTTAAAATCCTTTTGGGCCGTTAGTGTCAGAAACCAGAAATGTATAAATAAGTAAATATAAAACATTAGTGACAAATTTCATTTATGGAATACACTACAATTTCCAACAAGATGGAAAGTTCTAGAAATGCTGGTCACAAAAAATAAAATATTATTTACACCATTGAGGATCTCAACTTGGCGTTTAATTAGGGTGAAATCTGTATGGCGTACATGTTTTCTAAATATAGTTTTAAATTTTGATGGACCATTTTTCCTGCCAAATAACTTTAACAAAAGGATCGAAATCAACCTTAGTGGTGTGTGCTTTTTTTTAAAAAAAAAAAACTTAAAAAAAAAAAAAACTGCAAAGGTTATGTTAGGCTTTCAACTTGTATTTCTAATAACATTTTTTAAATTTTAACATGCATAAAAATCCTATTTAAAAAACATACGTCGTAATGAGCTTATGATTTGTAATACAGAACGAATTATCATACTAGTACAGATATATTCTCTTAATATCAAATTAAATTCATATATTTTTTTCTAAGAAAAATTTTTAATTTCATTTTCATTGTCTTTCTTCCCCGTTTTGGAAACACAAACCAACATTAATATAAGTAAATGAATACTCCACCCAGTTCTTAATGTAAGACAAAAATAACTAGTTTCTAAATATTACAAAAAGAATAATTAAGCTTACTAGTTTTGATAATTATCTATATTGCCCACATTAAAAATACTCCCGTTTTTTTCAAAAATAAAGTTTAATTAATTTAATTTGGGGAAAAGTTGAAGTATATTATAAATGAAACATTAAAACTATCAAATGTCTTATAAATAAGATCAATGGAAACTTGAGAAAATATACTTCTCCCTTCGGTCTTTAATATAAGTCATTTTGATTTGTACTAAGATTCATCTAAGATAAATTTTTTATTGATAAAAAAGTTAAAAATATATTTTCACATTCGTTATTAACTGCTAATTATTAAAAAAATATGTTAAAAGTTTTTTTAATTAAAAATACGTACTAGTTGAATCTTTAAACTTTTCAAAATGACTTATGTTAAGGACCGGAGAGTATATAATTACGACCAGAGGAAGTAATAAATAAAGAAAATTGTACCCAAAAAAAAAGGAAGAAAAAACTTGGACTAAAATTCAACTGAAATTAACCGGTCAACAAAGACCAGCTAAAAAAAAAAACAGGACGTGAGTTATATAAAAAAACGTTAATAAATCCGAAGTAGCTAGCTTCAATTTTCTCGCCTTCTTTTCCCCACTTCGTCGGAACCTTCCGGAATCCACCCGCATCCTCCCTTAATTTCACGCAGCGCCACAATTGGGAAGCAAACCCCATTAAAATATTCACGCAGAAATACACCATCCTTTCAATTTCTCCCGCTGTAGATTTCGATACACCGTCCAATTTCCCTGGGAAGCTGTGCCCAAAGATCCCATTTTTTTGGTGATCAAATTTGTTTGTTGAGGTAAGAGACAGCAGGTGAAAAGATTGATATGGAGGGCGGTGGTGCAGCTGCAGTTTCGACGGAGAACCAGACAGATTCGGCGGCGGCGGCGGCGGCTACGTCGTATACGTATTGGGTTCGAGGAAAGACCGAAGACGCTGCACCATTGCCCGTTCCACGCAAGCTCACCTCTGAAGATCTCTGTAATCAAGCTCCCAGTCATCTGGGTTCAGCTTGGAATAGGGTACTTTTTGTTGCCGATTAAAATATCTGTTTTAGTTTGATACTTTGATGTGTGTTTGCTTTGTATGTAAAACCTATGATGTGTCTTTCTTTTATATCGCCTCTAATTGTTCTTGGGTCAGTACTAATGATTTAGGTCTTGATGTCATTGTTGATAAGTGTGGAGATTGAGATGCTTTGATGGCCTGCGGATTGCTTTTGGAAATTTGTTTGATTATGTCTGCTTTACTTGTTTGGCTGTTAATTTGATTCTGTTAGCAAACATGGTGTAGTATAATGAAAAGGAGACTGGTAGGGAGAGTGTAAATTCAATTTCCTAATGAATTGGTTGGGCTCCTAAAGTTTCAATCTTTTGCTCTGTTGAGTTTTGCATCTCGACAAAGCAGTTTTGCTTTCATAAAACGTCTGGAAAAGGATTTGGAGCATTGTTAAAGTGCAGGAGAGTTATATCAACGTTTTAGTGGTCTATTGTTTGTCATGAAAAATGACATTCATATTTAGACTGAAAATCTGTCAATGTAGGGGATAAAGAAGAGTAACTAGAGTATAACCATTGTCCTTTCTCTTGTATCGTAATAACAAGCATCTTTAGGTGCAATTTCTGGTTTATTTTCTGGGATGTATCTGCTATGATGGTGCATATTCATGTGCTCAATGCTTCATGCAAATGAGAATGCCTTTGGGGTGCAGGTGCTATGCAACATGCACATTTAGATTTAGATTTTCGGTTGAAATTCGATAGTTATAAATTTTTGGTTTTTAAATCTCCATCATGTGTTTATTCTCATTGGTATAAATGACAGTTTGCATATTCCTGCTGCCAGAGAAATCTGGATTTGTTTGTAGATTTTGGCAAATAGATAACCATTTGCGTTAAATGTCAAACTAGGAGTCATGCTAAATATAAGAAGAAAGTACATGGGTTATCTTTCTTTTATGCAGAACTGATAGGGGATTAACAAAATTATATACTATTTACTTCATGATATTTATCATCCATATCTGATATGCTCATGTTAGGTGTTCATGAGTCAGTTCTTAGTGTGTAAAAATTTCTTGCAATATGCGCATAAACTGGCTTGTGACTCAGATATTTAGGAGGATCTGCTTGGGCTGTCAATAAGTTGGATAAATGTATTTGTGTGGATAAGCAGTGAAGTTTGGAAGAAAATATATAATCATCTGTACAGTTTCCACTTTCTCCTTAAGATTGTTACTGGTATCATTAACTTGTTAGGTAAATAAAAACATAGATGGAATTCCCAAAATTTCTTCAAACTTTGCATATTGTAGATTGCGCTGAGTGCCCTGTGCAGAATAAAAGATAAGTTGTCGGTGTCCTTGCTTGGGTTTTACAGAGTAAGTTTCAGTCCAGAAAGTGTTCCTCAATCCTGTTGAATTTATCCTATTTAAGCAGGATTATTGTCATCTTATATCCAGTGTTCTTAGGGGAGTGGTAAGCGTATTTCTAAGAATGCAATTTTATATTATATGAAAAGGGTCCTCTGGGTACATATTTTCTGGTTCAATCTGTTCCATAGTAGTGAAGGGATCCTTTTCTGCCGGATTTTGAATTTATATTATCAGAAAATGGTCCTCTGGGTACATAATTTCTGGTTCCACTCTTTTCCATAGTAGTGAAGGGATCTTTGTCTGCTGGATTTTGATTTTTTCTTGTGCTAACTGCATGCTTCTATTAAATGTCTGTTTTGTGAAAAACCTCCTGGGCAAGATTGTTGACTGCTATATCTCTTGACAGGCTGGAACATGGGAAGAGAAGAACCTAAACAAATGGGCAAGTGACAGGATAAAGGTTAGAAAGTTTACACGAAGTAAATTTGTTATGATTGTTATTAGTTATACGGGAGGTTGTTGGTTTATCTTCTTTACCTGGTATTAAGTTATTGATTTGAATTGAAAGAGGAATTGTTAAATTTCCACCTGGAAACATGTCCAGATTCTAGCATAGAGTTTTACTTCTCTTTCGCTCATAATTTGCATTTCCCATCATCTATCTAGTTGCAGTGGTCACCAGATTTATGGGAACTGGAATAGGAGGGGTTAGTTAACAAAGTGACTCTATAACTGAAGAGCAAATTAGTAGCTTTGTTTTGGAAACCTGATGAAACACTGTTTGGTCATAGCCTCCACTGGAAATTAACTTTACAGGGAGTAAATTAATATCTGGCTTGGGTATTTGTTTTGTGAGATGGCATGAGAATGTTAAACTTATTCATGCATTGTAGTAGGTTTGGTTTCTTTGCACAGTAAGTATTTGTACATTTGTAATATGTTTATGAATCTTACTTAAACTTGAATTCTACGGGCAGGAACTTCTTCCAACTATTCAGTCTCTTGAGTTTTCTGGTGGCAAAGCAGAGATATCAGAAGTAACAAGATGCACTGGAGATGTGAGTTTTATTAAATTATTTTGTACTTGAGCTTTTTCTGTTTTGGTTCTTAGATTCTTTAAATATTGTCAAAGCAACCAGATTGTACGTAATGTGTCTCTGTCTGAATCTGTAATGTTTATCTTCGATTCATTTTTCACACGTTTCTTAGTTGCATGTACAACTTGTGAAAAATAAGGATTAGGATCAGCACTTCTCAAGTAAATGAAGTATGATGAGCCTTTTTGAACTACTCGATGTAGGCTTCACATGTCATTGTCTTCAATAATTAAATTCTAATCCTGTCTGTTAGCAGGCTGACAAAATTTGGAAAAATGGTTCAGGTATTCTTGGTTTATTTGCTTATAAGTTTCAAGTGTTGTTGCATATTGCAAAAAGCAGTCAGATCAATCATCCGCAAGTAATTTGATATGATTAACTTGAGCATGTTATTGAGTGTAGCCTTAGATTTGTTCTTACCAATATGATTAAACAATTTATGCAGGCATTCTTAGTTACTGTACGCAATAAGAAACGTGTTGGCTACACATACGAGTTAACATTGCGAGCAAAAGGTACTCTCTGAAAGATTGCTGATTCATGTTTGGAAACAGTTTCTTCCTTTTCTCCTACTCGTTTTCCTTAAATTTGATTTCCATTTCTATTCCTGTAGGAGAATGGCTCATTGGGTCTGAGAAGAAGATAATTAAGGGTAGCATCGACATTGAAGAATTTTCATTTGGTGAATTGGATGAGTTGAAGGTATTTTACTATATTTCTTCGGAGGAAAAGAATGAATAAAATGCTTGTCTGTGATGATTTGTGAAGCTAGTTTTGTTACTTCTAACTTAAGACCATCACAAATGTTTTAAGGTCCTACTTCACATACTTATCAGTTTGCTTGTGTGTGGTTTTTTCCTGCAGATTCAAGTAAGACTTACTGAAGAGAAGGATCTTCCACTTCAAGATAAGCAGCGGATTATCAATGATTTAAAACAATTTTTGCGGCCTCTTCGAGAAAAGCTGAGCCAGTTTGAGCAGGAACTGAAAGATAGGTAGGATGGTGCGAACTTGGGGGGACCCTCTTTGTAGGTTCCATTACACTTTCTTAAATCTCCTGTTATTGTTTCTGATAGGGATCATAAAAACTTCTATTAGTGATGGGTAAAAGATGATGTGTTGCAAGTTCCCCATGTAGCAAGGGGGATACAAATGTTATCTTATGTACTTCACATTTATGCTACAGTTTGAGACAAATGTGCTCGCTCCTTGTGCATCTTTCAACTATGAATGCTACAGCCGCTTTTCTTCTTTATTTTTCTGTGAATGTTGCGCCTTATCTGTGAGACATACGGACAAGTGATACTTCTACTAGAGCATCTGATGTCTAGTCTCTCTCATATTAGAGGGGCCAGGCTACAGATAATTCTGTTAATTTTAGCTTTCTGGGGTTCTCCATGGTGGGGTAGAGACATTGAAACCACTACGCAATCGAAGAAATGGTGAAGACAAATACGTTGCTCTCCCATGTTATGGCTTAATTGCCAAGTTTGTTCATCTCCTGGTCTATAATAGCAAAGGTAGGATCTTTTAGCAAAATCTTAGTATCGGTAACATTTTGTGTGTGAAGACTGCCATATCCTTTCTACCAGTTGAACTTGAGAACTTTTGAAGAGAATATGCACATTATAATCGTGTCGTCTATGCAAAAGGATCGAAACTTTTGTCTTAGAAAACAAATATCCAAGTATTGGCAGCTACACAAGACACATTTTCGCTCTGAACTGATCTAGTTGTGTTCGGTAACAATTTCGAATTTCATTGCACCAACAAAAATGGAACACTACTCCCTTTGTCGCAAGAAAATAATGAATATCAAGTTTTAAGATTTATATTATTTTTGGTACAATTTGTAAATCTTAATACGGATTTTTTTTTTGGAAATGAGGCAGTACTATGTATACACGAAAACTTGGCGTCGGCCAACGGTGAATAGGAAGAAGAAGCAACACAATTGGCCATGAAACATTCAGCGACAGAGAAACTGAAGTATTTGTTTGTTCTTAGATCAATCAAACTTTGATCAGGATAACGTACCAAATCTAAACGTGTACTACCTCTGTTTCAAAAAAGAAAAAAAAAAGTAATTAAATTGATGTATAAAGAGAGGAATATGGAGCAAGGTTGAGAGAGGGGAAGTGAGGAATCTGGATTTAAGGAGAAGAGAGGAGAACAACATTATTACTATCTACTAATAACAATAAAAGTGTGGGGGGCAAAATCAAATCTTTAAAACAAGCAGGTTCAACATGCATAAAGCAAGCTAGCCAATTGCTTTCATCAAACATCATCATCCATCCATCCATCCATCCTCCCGGAAGTTGCCACAATTCGACGGCCAAGATGACGATCATCAGAGCACACCGTCTTCATAATACCCAGTTTCACTCTCCTCCTCGTCGGTTTCTTCGTCAATCTCCCGAACTAGTTGCCGAATCTCCTCAACAGCGGGATGCAGCCTCGAGAATTCATCCTCCAGCTTCTTCTTCTCCGCTCTCCACATTCCACCAGCCTTACCACAAGAGATGGTTTCCTCTCATCAGAGCCAACCAAACTAATCTGTCTAGCCTCAGACAGCAACTCTTCAGCCTCTTCCCTCAACTCCGACCGACGAGCAGCCAGATCATCGTATTCTTCCCACAGCCTCTTCCTCCTCTCCTTCTTCACACAAGGGTCATCCATAAGATTCAACCTGATCCCCCGAATCGCCGAATGCATATTGTGCACTTCGTCGTCCAGCTTCTCGTTCGCTGAGGCATATAATCGAACACATTCTACCAGCATCGATAGTATGTCGGTTTTGGAAATTATTCTTCCTGCTTTTTTATATATAAAGCCACAAGCCAAAGGTTTCTTAGCCTCGATATTCTTCTTTTTTAGTTAGATTCGGAGAAAAAAAGAAAAACCAGAAGGAAAATCGTACTATTATCATGGCTGTCGTAGTGACGAACGACGTCGCCGGCCAAAACCCTAGCGGCACCGTCGTCAAGAGATCTAAGGAAGCGGAACGTCGACGGAGGCGGCGGAAGCTAAAGAAGAACTACAAGTTTGAGAACCGAACCAGCGCTGCCGGTGACGACGTCGACGGCGGCCACGATACGGATGGCGCCGCCACTGACAGTGACAGCGCCAAGGAGAACTCCGATCCTCAAATAATGATGCCCAAAGTTGAGGTTGAGTATGTCGTTGAGACGCTGGATTGCGATTTGGGGGAGGAATTCAGGAAGATTTTTGAGAAATTCAATTCCGCCGGTTCCAAGGAGGAGGAGGAGAAAAAGGACGAGATTGATGGAGACGCGCCGCCTAAGAAGAAGGTTGATTCAGGCGATGACGACGACGACGATGATAAGAAGGAGAAGAAAGAGAAGAAGAACGGGATTTCTAATAGAAAGAAAAAGCAACAACAACGGATGTCGGTGGCAGAGCTGAAACAGATAAGCTCACGTCCCGACGTCGTTGAGGTCTGGGACACCACCGCCACCGACCCGACCCTGTTGGTGTACCTGAAATCTCACCGGAATACCGTCCCGGTGCCAAGGCACTGGAGCCAGAAGCGGAAATTCTTACAGGGGAAACGCGGGATTGAGAAACCGCCCTTCCAGCTCCCGCACTTTATCGCCGCTACCGGAATCGAGAAGATCCGGGAAGCCTACGTCGAAAAAGAGGGCAATAAAAAACTGAAACAGAAGCAGAAAGACAGGATGCAACCAAAGATGGGGAAGATGGACATTGATTACCAGGTTCTGCACGATGCATTCTTCAAATACCAGACCAAACCGAAGCTCACCGGCCATGGTGATTTATACTATGAAGGAAAGGAGTTTGAGGCAAAATTGAGGGATATGAAACCAGGGATTTTATCACAGGATCTGAAAGATGCACTTGGTATGCCTGAAGGTGCTCCTCCTCCTTGGCTAATCAATATGCAGAGATATGGCCCACCTCCATCTTACCCTGATTTGAAAATTCAGGGGTTGAATGCACCGATTCCTCCCGGAGCCAAATTTGGTTATCATCCAGGAGGTTGGGGTAAGCCACCTGTTGATGGAAATGGGCGGCCTTTATACGGAGATGTTTTCGGAGTTTTCCTGGTAGAACAGCGTCCTAATTACGAGGACGAACCCATTGATAAGAACAAACACTGGGGTGATTTGGAGGAGGAAGAGGAGGAGGAAGAAGAAGAAGTAGAAGAAGAGCCAGAGGAGGAAGAAAAGGTTGATGAACAAGTAATGGAAGATGGTATTTCGAGTACTCACACCGCCACCACCGGGGTCGAGACACCGGAAGTTATCGATCTGCGTAAGCAGCAGAGGAAAGAAGAGCCAGCTGCTGATAGAGTTCTGTATCAGGTTCTGGAGCCGCAGAGAGCAAATGTGGATCCGGGAACCTTTTTTGGGACAAATTACACGTACCCGGTTCCAGGGGCGCAGGATAATAAGACGGGTGCCAAGAGGGTTGATCTGCTCAAGAATCAGAAAACAGATAAAGTTGATGTTGCATTGGCACCTGAGGAGCTGGACGAAATTGAGCGAGTTTTGCCGGCCAAATATGAAGAGGCTCGGGAGGAAGAGAAGTTGCGGAACCAGCGGGAAGATTTCAGCGACATGGTTGCCGAGAATTCGAAGAAAAGGAAGAGGAAACAGAATGAGAAAGAATCCAAGTCCAAGAAGAGGGATTTCAAGTTCTGAAGGAGGTATTATTTGCCACTGTGTAGTTGGCTTTTGCTGCTCTTTTTTTTATTTCTCAATTCTTCCAATTTTTATATTTGTTGGTTTTTAAATTTCAATTGCATTTGTATCAAAATAAAGAGAAGTTCATACATCCTAACGCATCCCTTTTTTTCCTTTTCTTTTGTAGATTTGCCACTTGCTCGCGGCCTCACCAATAGAGGCTTCTTGGCTTTTGCTTTTATGATTATAATAACAAAAATCGGGGTGAAAATGAACACATTATTCTTCTCTAAGGACCACAGGCTAGTAATAGAAATCAGAGGCGGGGAGAAAATGAATAACTACCTAGAAATTTGTTAATGTGGGATTTAAGAGTAATGCCAATGTCAAAATCACATATTAGAGTAGATATTTTTGATAATACAGTGAATACATACCATTTCTGGTTTACATGTGCAACTATTCTGAATTTGTAGCCACGCAGGCGCGGCGCACACAAACAAAAAGCCATAATTTTCAGCAAAGTTTAGCCAAAACTATTTCAGCTTACTATATTCTAATAACAATGCAAAATTGATGAGAACAGATGGATGAGAACCTGCAACACTCATTCTTTGAATGTGGATTTGCTGCTGAACTATTAGGAAAAAAATGTAGAACTGGCTAGGGATAAGAACACTGACAGGAGACAGTAGAAGATGGATGAATGAAGCCGGAAAAAAAGGAATTTATATGCAGTAATTACAGCTAGTAGCTACCATGTCTGGGAGGAAAGAAAAGATTGTTTCAAGCACAAAGCAGGCCTGCGGAGGAGTATTATTGAGAATTAGGAAAGAAAAAGTTAGCATCAGAATCAAATTTTGTTATGGACAAAAAACAGGACTGCCAGAAAGGAGTATTATTGAACAGTTTTGTAAATAGATCAGGGAAGATGTATAAAGATGAGTATGTAATAGAGAATTAGGAAGGAAAAGATCCATGTGTAGGATTTTCTCTTGGTTTTGCTGTTCATCTATCCGCATGATTTTTTATTATTATTATTATTTCTTCTTTTGGGTTTGGGACTTTCTTTTATATCAGAGACCTGGTTGGAGTCTTGGCAGTGCAGCTTCGGAGGTTGAGATAGATTTTCGTTTTTACAATTTTGAAAAACTCAAAGAGTTTTTAATTTTAACCACCACCACCAACGTATACCATCGACGACATTACTGTCGACGGCCAAAATCCAGCAAAAGAAACATTGTCTAGGAGATTAATTTGAGACTAGTACCCAAATCACCGTTTCCAAGTAAGTTTCCAAAAATTTGTGTCCTTAGCACAAGACTAGTATCCAAGTTTGAATTGACTCAACAAGAAGCTTATCATGCAAAAGGCAAGAATAAGGGTTACACACAACAGAGAAGTCCCTAGGCCGCTAACTTACGCCATATAGAATTTCTCCTCCTGCTTTAGAACTCAACCCGATCATAGCAACAAGAATGTGCGTCACTCAGGCCCTGCCTCCAGTGGATCTGCTATGTTCATGGAAGTACACCTCAAAGAAGGGTTCCTCGACAAGCTATCAATATCATGTGATCCCTGCAATACCTGTGCTTTTTCAGTCTGCAGCCTCACTCCCTGACAACAAATTGCTGCTTCCAACAATATTTCTCTGCTTATGTTTCATTAACCTTTTTCTTATGCGAACCACTTAATGCTGCTTTAGCCATTTTCCATTCTTTCAGGGAATCATTACTCCTCTTGAAACTGAATATTTCTGCTGCTCCATTACCTCTTTGAGAAGTGAGTTTTGCAGGTGTCTGCTGTCTCTTGCGTAGTTGTGGAGTGCGAGCTTCCTCACCTGATATTCCGCCTTCCACCATATTTATGGGATTCAATGAATCCAGGTTAGCTTCACCAGGATTCAACTCAACCTCATGCTGTCTACTACTATTTAACAAAGCTGAACTACCGCTGTCTTTAACTTCTACGACCTCTTGTTTTTCTAAATTATTTGTAGGAACAATTTGTGAAATGCTGAATGAGGAGGTCTCACCCGAACCATCAAGAAGATGTTTCCAGGAAAATTTCTGTATTGTTGGCATACTTTTCTCTGCCGAACTAGCTTCTGCTATGGCCACCTGAGGAATACCTTCGAAAGATTTGTTTACCACGTCTTTGGATATATTGATTCTCTGATTTTCTTGATTTGACATATCAGAATCATCAGGTTTACGTTGCTTATCTGACCCAGGAAGGCTACTTGGAATGACATGTGAAATGCGAAAACAACCATCATCCTTCCCACTAACCAGATCCCTCCAAGAAAACCTTTTTGCTGGCAGACTGTCGTGGCTTGAGTGCAGAACTTCAGAAGCAGGTTTTACAGATTGAATGCCTGAGTCAGTCTCCAGGACAGCAGAAGTATCACATGAATTGTCCTTCCTTTCAGTCACACAGACTTCACCAGTTCCTTCACTTTCACCATCTAGAGCAGCTCTAGATTTCTTCTTGGATTGGACAGTTTTCTCACCCTGGATTCCTCGCTTTTTACGCAATGGTTCTAGTTGAGAAGCTTGTAACTCCTAAAGAAGGAACCAGAAAAGATGTTACTTAACCTTCAATCAAGAGTCATTTATGTCAAATTTGTTTACATTCCATTGGCACTGTCCTACCTCATTGTCAGTGGTTGCTGTCTGAATCAAAGAATGAGCCGTAGTGCTTTTTTTATTTGAACCTGCTACTGCATTGATTAAAAGGTCATCTTCATCCGACATTAAATCTTCCATCCCATCAACGTGATAATCCTCTTCTGAGGCTGTTGGAATTTGAGCTTCTGTAGCATACCCAGCGTCAGTATATGGTAATTCTGAAAACTTATCTTGCTGAAATTGTTTCTTTCCCTGCTCTCCATACTTTCTCAGCAAAGGTCTAGATCGAGAAACTCGTGATTCCTAAACAAAAAGTGGAGGAAATTGACAAGTCAATCCAGGAAGTATACTTATATCTAATTGCTTAACATTTTTTGCAATGAAGAATTATATAGTCATACCCCCAGTGTGGCAATTGTTTTCTGTCCCAAACCCGTCGTGATTTTATTGTCTGACCGCCCCACTATGTTGATTACAAGATTATCGTCATCAGAGGTTTCATCTGCTTCTTCATCAACTAGAAGATCAGCATTTGAGTTTGTCAAGGTCTGTGAATCTGTTGCAATTTTGATGTCACTGGATGCTGTCTCTGAAACTTTTTCATGCTGAAAAAGTTTGTTCATAACAGCCTCCATCATGTTAAGCTCTTCTTCCTTCATTCCACCACCTTCGTTCTCTTGATTGTAAGATCGTCTGTCTACATCTGAAGGAACAGAATGCTCATCACAATCGCAAAAGTGCTTTGGGGCGGCAGGAACATATACACGTTGGAAACTGTATTTGTGCCTTCCAGTTCCTTTAAAAGGTACAGGTTTTACCTACAAAGCAACGTCCAGATTATGTGACCTTTCAATTAAATATAACAGCTGTTTAATCATTCTTAACAGCAAGGACTAACCTTCCTTAGTTTGGGAAAGAAAATTCTAAGCTGCAGATCGTCTGAGTTGTGACCCTTCACCAGCTTTTCTGGAGGAGATATGCTTTCAACAGCACCATCGACGCATTTGTTGGAAATAGTAGCAAGTTCAGCATCTTCCTCCCACTCACGTTTCAACCGAAGTTTATAGTGTTCCTTAGCCTTCTCCAGTCGCAGCTTTCCACCTTTCCATTTACAACCATTATACTGTACAAACCCGTATTACTCATTGGTTAAGAACTGACAATAAAAAATCTGTATTGAAAAATAAGAAATTATGTTTCGGATCGTGTTCTTTGCCCCATCAAAGTACTCAAACATGAAAAGTTTCTCCTCATCAGATACATAAAGATCCCTGGGTATATTTTAGAAACTCACTGATTTGCCGCTTAACCACAAAGAAATGCCCTTCAGCACTTTCGACGGTTCTGTTAACAAAGTACTAGGGCACCAGTTTTCCGCAATCATTTAACTTAACAAAATAAGCCAAACCAGGCACCAGAAGAATTCACTACTAAAAGCTTCTATTTCGCAACTCCAATTCTTCAACAAATCTCAATGGTTGAATGAAGATTTTCTTCCTTAAATGCAATCCTAACATATCTTACCACTCACATGCCCTCAAACCTCAAGAATCGGCAGCAATAATAAAACAACAAATGCACCGGCGGAAACAAGAAATCCGAAAAACACAGCAGCAACGAACGCAAGGAAACGTCAATGAGTTCAAACAAAACGAAGAACTTGTGCAATCGAGAACTAAAACAGTAAATCAATGACAAAACACAATGAGTTAAAAAGGAACAAAGAGAAGTGCAGACCGTGCTGAAGAGTTTGGCGAGGCCTTTATCAGAAGAGGGACAGAAATCCAAATAAGCGAAACTGCGGCCTTTGGTCCGAACCACCTCAACAGATTTCACGGCGCCTAATTGAGGTGAAGAAAACGTCTTCTTCAAATCATCGACGGTTACATTTTCACCTAATCCTCCGACATAGATCCTCAAAACTCCGCTTTCACTCGTCGGCGCTCCTCCGTCAATGCCACCACCGCCGTGCTCCACTTCTGGTTCCATCAAAGAACTCAATTCCAGTAATCAAAACCCTAGCACAGCTTAACCCTAGAAGAAGAAGGAGAAGCAGTAGGATGAAAGAGCAAGAAGGGGTTTTAGGACAAAATAGTCATTTCCTTATTCACCTCTTCTTGTTAAGGGTTATTGTTTATATCTTCAAAAATAAGAGGGACCATTTTTACACTAAACTGAACCTCTGGGGAGAATATTGACGTTCATCGCTCCGGTTCCACGCTACGATCAAGAAATTTCACTCGTTCTTACTTCTTAGTAGTAATAAAATTCGACATTCTCTTCAAGTTCAAACCTGTATAAACTTGGCCCAGGAACTTCTTCCTTTCATTGGAATCTGCTCTGTAATCTTTGTTTGTTTGTTAGTGATAAGCTTTGGGGAAAAGGGTTCTGAAAGTTACATAATCATGCCTCCCAGGAAAGAACTCTGCAGGAATTTTATGCGCGGGAGGTACTACTGTTACCAGATTACAGCTTTCCATTTCTTTTTTTTGAATTTGGGTTCAGACAGAAACACTTGAAGTTATGGAAACCCATGAATTTCTTTACCTTGTTCTTCTCTTGTAGTATTTGATTACGCAAGAACTGTTAATTGCCGTTTCATGTTTTTTGGGGTACAATTAGAGTTGTTAATGTATGATATTTACTTTCTATGTTTTTTATAGTTTGTTCCTCACCCAGTTCCTATCAGTGTATGCTATCATTTTTTTTTGCTCTGAAATTTTAGAGTTCTCTCCTTTATCTTTGTACTCCACTGTATGGTTTTGAAGTTGTTTTCTTGTTCTCACGGTCAACACACTTTCTGTTTCTTTTATATTCTATTAATGTAAAAATTACCAGTTAATGTGGTTGTTAGAACTTGTCGAATTTACCCGGTTGAAATTTTTTAAGCTGGGAGAGGAGCTTTTTGGAATGTAAGGATGAATGAGTAAATGCTTTAGATAATTAGTTCTCTTTTGGAAAAAAGAAATAAAAGTTAATTCGTCTAGATGTCACGCTGTATTTGCACCTGGAGGGGTACTAATTCAGATAGTTTTCTCTCACAAGAATGCAAGGCATGAGTACTGATTCACGAGCAATGTTATCTTACTGATCGGAAAATTACTACTGGTTCCTCTCGCAATGTTTTGGACAGTTTTAAACTTGGAAGATGGAAACCTACTTTCTTATCTGTGTATCTTATGCCGTAAAGAATGTTATTAGCATGATGTTGAGAATGTCCACTCTGTAGGCTATATGGCGGGGTATTAAAAATAGAAAAGTATGCTGGAAATTTGTTTCAGTCTGGTGACCTTTTTTAAACTGTGTTATTGGGTATGTTTTCTCTTTTTCACTTGTTACAGTTGGCTGTTCCACTATGAACCGATGATATATGATCTGCTGCTAAAATGCATGTGATTCTTTTCTGGGAAGTTGTCTAGTTTATTAGGGTTTTTTTTTTCCTCCTGGGTTTTTAAAACTTTCCTATATTTCCACTTTGTACTCTGTAATTCAATCTTCTATACTTGTGTTTTGCAGCTGTCATTTTGGTGAACGATGCAAGTTTCTTCATGCTGCTCAAACACCTTCTACATCAAATCCTTACGGTTCTGGTGTGCAAAATGGCAATTTCCGTCAGCAGTCAAATCAACAACAGCAAAAGCCAAATCCTTTTGGGTTCGGTGTGCAAAATGGCAATCAAACTCAATCAAATCGTTATGGATTTGGTGTTCAGACCAATTCGCAAGCCAAAGGAGGATTTAGTGATTTTGGTTCCAATCAGTCCAAGGTTCTTTGCTCTCTTTTTGAACTTATTAAGTAATCATTGTAAATATTGCCATTTATAGTTTCAATGAAAAGACTTTTGTCAATGGAGTTTATTCTGTGCCCGTGCAAATTGATATAATTGTGCTTGCTTTGGTGATCTTTATTATATAATGAAACTGAACAAATGCTTTGGCAATGAAAAACAGTAAGACTGAGATTGAACTGAGATTTTGGGCAATTTAAATTATTTCATAATTATGCTACTTCTAAGACAGATTCTGGGACGTTCCTCTTCTCCTTGGGCATTGGCTGAAAGCACTTGATGTATCATGCCTCAAGAGTCTTATAGAAGCCCCTAATGTAAACTCCATGATAAAAAGTTGGAGGTAATTTACCTAGGTTGTGACAAGTTTTTTTCCAATCAACATAATGTTCCCTTAAGGCATTGCTTTGAGAAATATATTTGTTCCCTGTAGATATCCATTTGCACACTAGCCAAATTGTTCTACTAATGGAATGCAACTGTACTGCCATTTTGCCAAATGATTTAGAAAATTGTTTGGTTGGGGAGTACTGATTTGTATCGAAAGTGACATTGTCTATTCTGGTTTCCATTAAGAATACAAAGCACATACATAAACTGGTTCTCTTGAACAATATGGTTTTCAAAAGTGACATTGGCCATTTTGGTTTTCATTTAGAATATAAGTTGAATAACTAGTTGTAATGAGTCAGCGAATAAGCAACAAGAGAGGTGATACAAAGCCAATATCAATTAAATTTCAGTGGAAATCGAAATGTATGATTGGAAATGGTGATAATACCGCAAGGGAGATCACCTAGAATATGAACAGGGCCTCATTTTCTGAACTTGTTCTCTTGAAAAATATGTGTTTTCTGCGGATCTTTGTTGCCCGTATTTTCTCTTTCCTTCATATGGTAGCATCTAATTGTGAAGTCAGTTTGTATTTGCATTTTAGAAATTATTAGAGTTATCTTTATTGCTGCTAGAATCTTTTCTTTCCTCTGATTTTAGTTTCCCTCAGTAAATTGGTGCTAGACTCTAGTGTTGTTATTCACATAAAGTCTTAGCTGTTGCAAGTTTTCAGTGCCGTGAAAAATTTGCATCTTTGTTGGTGAGTATCAGAAATTCGAAATTGTAGACACATGTACAGCTCAATGTCTTAGGTGCAGTTGGTCTCTGTGGTGATTTCTGTATTTTGACCTTGAATTTAACTTTATTTATTTATTTGTATGATAAGTTCAAAAAATTAACTCAAATTATAAAAAGTTGTGGGGTACAAAATTAATGGGTTTTTTTTTCCGTGCTTTCTTTTCTTTCACAGCCTTTTGAAAACACGTGGTTTAGGCCCCAGACAAATGCTGGAGGCTCTTCTGCATCCCGGCAACCTGATAATCAGTCACGCTCTCACAAGTGAGGGCTCAATCTCCTCTTTTCTTGTTCCCTCTCCCTTCCGAACTTTATGATTTGGTACTAGGGTCTGTCCATCCTTTCTGTTCTTAAGTTGAGGCGATATTTTTTTAATGCATGTGAAGGTGCACAGATCCAGGGGCATGCAAGAGTGCGATTGCTGCAGACCTCAAGGATGAGAAACCTTTGTGGAAGCTCACTTGTTATGGTCATAGTAATAAGTATGATATCTTTATCCCTTTCCAAACCACAGAATATTGTACAACTTTTGATGTAAATATAAGAGCTTCATTTCATGCATTTTCTATGATTACACAGTAAAATCTTTGACGTCATGAGATAGTGTAAAAGGCTTTCAAGCTTAACGTAATTGTTAGGTTTCTTGAAATCAAAAGCTAGAGATACTCAGCTCTTGGCACTATAAAGAACTACAAAAAAAGTGGTGCGTACAGATTTAATACCTTTATGTGATGGTGTAAAGGATTTCTACCTTGATATGATTGTTAGATTTAGTGAAATCAACTTAACGGGTGTAGATGTCTTGGCACAGTAATAAGAAAGATATTATAAATGTAAGCATGTGAAAGGACTTACCAATAAGACCTCATTATTATTGTCTCTGCCGTTCTGGGATTCTTGGCGAAGTCTACGATTCTGAGTTTGTTCATGTAAATGGGTGTTGATTGTGTTTTTGTTTGCAGTGGACCTTGTGATATCGTTGGTGATATTAGTTATGAAGAACTGCGAGCATTAGCTTATGACGATGGGAAGCGTGGATTGAGCCTGCAAACAATTGTAAGTTAACATGCGAGGATACTTCATTGTCGCCAGTTGATGATGAAATGAAAAATTATGCAGGTTTGGCGTTCAGTAGTTACCAAAGATTAGAAGAAGTGGTATCTTGTGAGGAAAAATGTTCAAGAGCTAAATATTGAAAAGGTTTTCAATAATCACTAGTTTTTCATGGGTTCAGGTCGCTCTGCAATAGGAACTTTTCACCTTTCCATGGTCCGTTTCTGCCTATTTTACAGTCAAATATTCTAATGGTCTTTGATCAATAGTTACCATCGAGTCGGTAGTGTATGTAATTTGGCTTTTAGCTTGATGAAGACTACAAGTTAACTGTGTTTTTCAAACCTTATGCTACATTCAAAACTTGAATCACCTATTTGTTTGCCGACTTCTCTCAGCCTCTATGAAATCCGGTTACTTGCCACTATAGTGCTCGGAAGGATACATGGTCTTTCTATCGTTGCTTATGATGATATCTTAGTGGTATAGGAGTAGCCTACCTTCTTATCTTTGGCAGTGCATTTAGGACCTTAGACGCCGAAACCATCTCTCTCTCTGAAGTTTCGCCTCACCACTTCTTATGTGCAATTTTCCTGATTTTAAAAGGGATTGCAGTTTTGACATGTGCACCAGAGCTTTAAATGCATTAATTGAACGCATAAGATCTAGAGAATTATCAATTAAATTAACAGGGGAGGTAGAAGACCTATAAAGATCTGGAAGGTAACTCAAAGATATGCTTAATGCTTAAAATCGGACAAAACAATTTGTTGTCTCTTTAGTTATCGGTGATTTAGAGAATCATCAATTATGTATAAATGGGAACGAGAAGACCTATAAAAGACTTGGAAGGGAAGAGATGCTGAATATTAAAACTCAAATGGAACAAGTTGTCTCATTTTATCAATTGTCAGTGTTGGCAATTCACAATCGGCATCAGTTTGTTTGACCTCCCAGAATCTTTTCCTCCTAGAAAAGCTTGTAAAATTTTGTCCCTAGGAGTTGAAGGTGTTGTGGTACATCTTATTTTTCACTTATTCGGTTGTAGAATTCTGGCTGAAGAAACTGATCAAGATGATTGCAGTCGCTGTACGTAGACTGCAAAAACTTCTCTTTTTGTTTCCTCATCTAAGCGCCACGGTTGGAATGCTGCATAGAAAATAACATTAACCTTATAATTCAACTACCCAGAAGTTGTTTCTACATTGGTCAGGGACTGATGTTTCTTTTTGTAACCGTTGCTCAAACTATTGCAGGTTGAGAAGGAGAGGACCTTAATAAATGCTAAGGTCGCTGAGTTTGACAGCCTAATCCGTAATCTTAACAATGTCCCGTTGAACTCTGCTGCTGGTATTCAGAGTCCTTTTCATGATGACACAAGGAATTCCAATAATCCAACTTCTTTCTCAAGTTTCAGTAATTTGGCCCCATCAACTTCAGGGTATGAACGAAGCAATCTTTAACTCTCTGACTTGGAATTTTATGCTTCTTCATCTTCTTCTTTTTTTTTAACCATTTGTTGTCTTCGCAGAGCTACTTCTCCTCCGATTAATTTCTTTGGTCAACCTCATCCGTCCCAGAATAGCCCTACACCAGGTATGAATATGTCCAGAGATCCCACCATTGGGATTTTATGTACAGTTTTGCTGTTATTTTATGTACTTAATTAGAGCTTTTTCATTGACTAAACACTTAGTTGACTGGTTTTAATGTTCACATGCTAGGTTCATTTGGCGGCCAACTTCTTTCCCAGACTCTTCAAAACCCCTTTGGCCGCTTTTCCACAGGCTTTAATAACAACATTCCCCCCAGTACACAGCAAAATCAATTTTTCTCCTCAACAGTCTCATCACAGATCTCTAACTCTGCTGGTAACCTTCACAATGGATCTTTTTCTGGTGGATTATCCATGGATAGCGCGAAGTTGAAGTAAGTGAACAACCAGCAAATGGTTTTTATTATGATCTCTTTTATGTTTTGTGAAATCAGCTTGCTGGGAGAAGCTTATGTTCAAGTCATAAAGACATCTTCTATGTATAAAATGTAACTGCTCGTATAAGGAGGCTAGTAATGTATCAAGCAAATCCATGAAGGTTTTATGTCTGCGTCCATGAATTAGCTTTGAGTTCTTAATTTTTTTAATATTAAGGTATGCCATTTTATTGCTTGAATTCAAAAAATAATTTTGTTGTCGTTCAGTTTTTGTAAGCTGAAGATATTAATGCTACTGATACTTTGTGGACCTATATTAGATAGGATGTATAATGTCATTAATCATTATGCAATAAGTAAATAGCAGCACAAACGAAATAATCAGGGGATGCTTTACATGTGCATTTGAGACTTTTATATGCCTTACTTGACAGGTAGGAGAACTTGAATCATCAAATTAAAATAAAAAATGTGCATTGACAAAGCAAATTGCAACATGTGGTCTAAATTTTCCTCTATGTTCCAGGATTTAGGCTCTGTTGTACTGGCTTATTTTCTTGTATTGCTTATATCTTACACGTACAGCCCTATTATCGTATACTGTGTCATAAAGCATATGGATACAAGTCGTTGCCCACGATCATCTAGTTTTCATTTTTTACCATTTAAACTGCACTCTTTGTTGTGTTTTATGAATTATTATCATCTTATGCTTTGCTTTGCTTTTTTTTTCTCTTTCTTTATTCATTGGAAAATGGGAGGTCATTGAGACCCACATGTCACTTCGGAATTGAAAGAATTTCATACTTATCTGGGGATGTTGATGGCTGACACAAATCATCTACTTTCCTGTGGTTAGTTTGCGAAGGGGATATATTATGAAATGCATACATTGTCTTGCATATTAGTTCAAGAATCAGAATATGTAAATTGAACGTACCAAGATCAAGCTTTGTTCTTACGATCTTAAATGCTTGTTAGTCCATGTATGTTTATTGGAAATTTATATACTCTCCAAGCCATTAATAATGTTTTCTTTCTCTAGTTTTGGGTACAAAATTATGTTTATTCAGCATAGTTATCCTTTGCATGGTCCACAGCAGAAACCAGCTTCAAATTTTAAATCTAGAAATCTTGTGATGCAGCAGTTTTTGATTGAGTCAGGACTTAAAGCTTTATTAGTCTTGAAGCCACACTACTGGTGTACGTTAGTTGAGACTAACATGTGGTCAGCCATTTATCTGTCTTGCATAATTTTCTCTTGTGCTTTGTACAACTCTGAAAAAGTCATTCTACTAGTTGCTGGAACTGCCTTGGGCGTTTTTGCTACATCTTTGGGCTAACCCGCTGCTCTTTTCCAAAATGGTCTCTTCTTCATGGGTGCAAATCCAACTGTGCTTTTTAATATTTATTGACATCTGCTTTGCAATGGTAGTCCGTATAGAATGAATGGAATTGAGAGCTTCCTTTGAAAGATTTGGAGTTAAGATCATAGCTAAAAGCTTATATTTATCATTATTTCCAGCTTTGGTTTTTTCACATTTATTCGAGGACATCTGATATTCAGTTGTAGCTTCTATCTTTTGCTACCTGTTATTTAACTTGGGTTGCAATTGCAGCCTTAACAACCCCCCTGCGGACACTCTTGATGGGGACGACAGTATTTGGACAAGCGAGACCTGGACAATTGGGAAGGTAAACATTTTAAGTCCAATCTTTAATTGTGAAACTGCTTCATGTGGAAACTTACAGCCATTTAATTTGCAATTAAATTGTTTTTTTTTTTTTGAAGAAAGAATTAAATTGTATTTTGACTGTATCTTGTTCTCCTTGGTGCAGATACCGGAATCAGCTCCTCCGGCAAAATATTGTCGCTAGCGAGTAGTACTCTGTACCATATGGATTGTTGCAGCATTCAATTTTGAAGCTAGAAGGGACATTGAAGCACCCTTTCTGGGGAATTAGCCATACTTACCCAAAGTTCATGTGCTTTCCACACTTTTTAACGCTTTCAATACGTTTAGGTTGTGGGTTATTTACTCAAGTTATGTAGGGAGGGAGGAGGCAAATTTGTGAATTATACTTTGTTGCCAAGTATGTCGTTAGTTAGTGATTAGTTTATATAGAGAAGCCAAATTTGTATATATTTTTATCTATATATATATATATATATATATATATTATAAAGGAGAGTTTTTTTTTTCAAAACAAAAGGAGAGTTTTCAATCGGACATATGGCGTTATATTAGATAAATTAATCCATACGGTAAAAAATTAGATAACCAAATGATTAGTGTATATAGAGAAGCCAAATCTGTATAAATGATACGACAAGAAAATGAATTCATAAAATGAAATGATTTATTTAGTATACAAACACCTTTTACTGTATTATTATGTAACTCCCTCATCCTGAAAAATGAGAGGTTTATTTCTTGAACTAAAATAATATCAGATTTTTTTTTTAAAAAAAAAAAAGATGTTGATTAATGGTTTTGTGCTGCATGTCTTTCACTCAAATACGTGGTATCATTTAAACATTATAAATAGTTCAACAAAGGCAAATTACTACGGGACGAAAGGGTATCGTTTTTTACTTATTTTACTTTATGAACAATGTCATCATTTATATGACACAAAATACTAGTCCAATGTTTACCACTGAAATTTCAAATGTTCAACGAAGGGAAAAAAAAAAAAAAAAAAAAAAAAAAAGAGGAGTTTCAGAATTGTTTACCAAAAAAAAAATCAAAATTGTTTGATAGGATTGAGATAAAATTTATGTTAATAAAAATGTTATTTTTGTCTATTTCATCGTAGTATTAATAGTCTAAATTTTAAGACTAAACAGTTTATTTTTAAAACTTAGTTGTTAAAATTGGATTATTAAAATAGAAAAAGATTATTGTTTTGACTAGGGTAACAACTAAAAATGAATGAGAAATTCTCCCCCCAAAAGAAAAAATAAATTTTTTTAAAAAAATTATGAAATGAAAAAGCTATTTTGTTGATGTGTGATGAATGTTGCGTTCGGGGGACTGAAGGATACTTGTGAATCATGTGGGCATTTAGAAGTATGAAATTTTTGACAAATGTTATTTTTCTCTGGGCCCAATTTCTTGTCAAAAACTGCCCATCCTACTAACATGGACTGCTTATTTGATTGGACTTTTGTGATTGAGTAGATCAGGTTGAAGCACCAACATAAGCCCAAACAAGACCATTGTACTTCCAAATTAGGCATGTGAGATGTATACTGTCTGCTTGCTCTAAAATTCTAAATAAAGCAAGTTTACATTTATACTTTGGGGACAGAGAAATAGAGGTTGACCTTTATGATAATGTACCCCAAGTTTAGAAAAGGCAAAAGGAAGAAACCAATTCAACTCCAAACCTACCATATGATATGCATTTAATTCACAAATATCAGCTCCCCCAGAAGATAAAGAAAAAGAAAAATGGACAAAAATTTCAATCCATTTTGTGGTATAAAAGTCAACCTTATGATTTTGTCCAATTGGAAGTACCATGGTAGTAAAATTTTGATGTGCTCTCTAGTTGACACCCTAGAAATGCTTATTAACAAAGAACAGTAATTCGCGTCTAATATATACATATATATATATATATATGTAGGTAAAACCTCAATGAATTTCACTTAAATGTAGGTAAAACCTCACTTACAATCCCTGGTGGGAATCGAACCCTGATTTATTACCAAGAAGTACAGTAACCTGATCACTAGACTGTCATTCAATTCTCAATTCGCGTCTAGTTAATACACTGGCAATCATCGTAAAATGAATGTTAATATGAGAGCAAAGTCTTGATAAGTAAGATGATGTGTTCTTCTTTTTAGTGTATTCATTCTGTCTTAAAATTTAAGTATAAATTTCAAAATTTAATTTGTATTAATATTTTAAGATAGGGAGAGTGAATTATTTTTCTGTACGGAGAAAGTATTACAAAACAGATGAAGCATCTTTAAAAAAAAAAAAATTCTCTACCGTATCTTCAAAATGTTGTTTTTATTTTTTATTTTTTTAAAAAAATTAATGTCAAACTTGTAAATGCTTGTGAAAGTTTCACATCATTATTGTATGCCAGTGGTCATAGACCATGAAAAGTGAGAAAAAAATAGTATGATCCTGCTGAAGTCAATTATTGTCTGCCAAGCTGTTCTTGTGTCGAGAGAATCTGTTTCATCTCATTCAGAATAAAGCATTTTGTGGAATTTTATTTAATAACTATATTTATTTAACCAAAAAATAATCATTTTGTTGATTGGCATATCACAAATTGATACATAGACCTTATTATAATTGGAGGAATGGTCCAAATAAAATGGAAAGAAAAAGATAAAAATTTTCCACCAAAGCAAAGGCATTATCTTAGGTTTTATTCTCTTACGAATGATCAAAATGCCCATGTTAGTTGTTGCGAAGAGGAAAACTACTTAGCACCAAAACGCGTTTTGAAGCTTTTGTAGACTAAATATTATGCTTTACACACACAATGCCGTATTAGTAAGAGAAGAAATAGCATTAATCCTCCCAAAAAAAAAAAAAAAATTCGCATGAACCTCCTCAAGTATCATTATATTCCCAAATTATACCACCGAGACGATCAAATTTGAAGCATATTATTAGCTCTTCACTTCAGCATGTCAATTAACCACTAGTCCAATGATTTACACAAAACAATCTTTTTAATGATAAGAATTTTAATGGAGTAAATTACTTGTGAACCTCACTTTTGATTTTTGAACTACTACTATTATTTTAACCTTTTTTTTGTTTTTGGCAGTGAAAAGACAAAAAGGGTGTAATCCAGTTTTGCTTGGTTATTGTTTATGCTACTTAGTAATTAGTAATCATTCAATAAGTTTAATCACCAATGCCATTATTACCGAATGGGTGGCCCAACCAACCAACCGAAAAATGCATTTTTCATGTGGTTTCGATTACTTAATCAGAGTGAAGAGTTAATAAGATTTTACGAAACATTTGTATCACTTCCATCTAATACGTTTCTTTATTATTTATAATACTCTGAAAATGGTAACTAAACTCGAATAAATAAGTGATTACGAGCTGAATAATCACACAATGTTATTACAAAAGAAGTTTTTATACTATACGCAGTATAAAAGGATCTACTATTTCCGTCCTGAAATTATCGTGCAGTTTAAATTTTTATATCTAGTACAAAATGAATTAAAAGTAAAAAAATCAAATCCGACAATAATCTGGGAACAGAGGGAGTATATGGTTTGAAGTTTGAACCTCTCACTTTCAAGTTATTATTTCAGAAAATAAAATAAAATGAAGCACTAATACTAACAGCTCTTTGAGTTACAAACAAGTAGTTTGGGGGGCAAAAAAATGACCCACGAAAAGGGAATGGTAGGAAAAGGCCTTTATCAATTACTGATGATATATTGGGAAAATTCAAATAAATGGAAAGGGCAAAAAGGAATTGTACGTGTATAATTAGTTGTAAATAACTGTAAAGAGGCTTTAAAAGAAAAAAAAAATGGAGGGTTCGTGAATACGCGGAATAGTAGCAGTTGGGAAGTGAATGTCTGATCACACGTCTGAATTTGTACCGTCCTTTTTAAGACTATTTTTTATAGATATAATAAGGCTTTGTTTGTTAAGTTTTTTTTATGGTATTTTCAAAATATTTAAATAATAACTGTTTTATCTCAGTATTTCTTTTTACATTTTTAATACATTTTTTACATTCTCAATACAAAAAATACTTAAAAACACACACTAAAAAAACGAACCAAACATACCCTAGTTGCGGCACCGAAATAGTAATATTAAGTTAATTACTCCTATGATTTTTTTTCTTCTTTTCTTAGAAATACTATGTTTCAAACAATCAATTCATCATCATCATCATCATCATCATCATATTAAGAAACATTTTCATTAATTATTTTTTTCAAAATCATCTCCGCAATTGTCTGTCGCCAACAATTTCGGTTTGTATATTTTATTTGTTGTTCCACAACGTGTTGACATGTTATATAATTTGTCAATTTGGTATCCATTCTATTCATCTCATTACTTGTGTCAACTAAATAAAATAAAAAAATAAAAATTATCACACTTTTTCATGTTGATTAAATTTAATGCGGATTAATATCAATACTGTAACAAAAATCACTAAACACATGTCAAACTCTATGGAGTAATAGTAGAAAAACGTGAATATCGAAAGTGTGAAGAACGAACTTGCATCGTAATTTTTTCAATCAATTCAATACGCTGAAAATTTAGTGAATATATTGCTCTCATTGTTATTTTTATTTTTTGAGAACATTGAATATATTGGTCTTTGTTTTCAGGATTGGGTAAAAAATAGAAGAAGCCAATTCGATTAAAACTTTCAATTTAGTTATATGGTTTCAATTAATTGAAGAAGTATAAAAGAGTTTTCTCATCATTGGCTCATACAATACATTGTATCGTCATCGCGGCGCAGCATGTGGAACATACAAAACGGTGGACTATTAGTCACATATGCTCTCCCATTAATAATTCCATTCAACAAGATAATTATTGAAATTATTATTAGAAGAAACAATAAACCGATACTTGCCAGACTCATCCAGTAATACAGCTATCAAGCATTCATTCTTAAGCCACCTAAAACAGAAATTCAAAGGAAGCACGAAAACTAGGATTAAACCGAGTAAATGAATTACATATATATAATTTTTTTTTAAGTTGAATTTTACTTAAATTTATAAACCTTAAATAGATTGGAAATACTCTCTCCACTCCAAAAGTATTATCCAGTTCGAATTATCGTTTTTAGTATATCATTATCAATAATGAGCATCTTTTCAAGAAAAAAATCAATAATGAGCATCGAGGCACGACTTCCTTGGTTGGGAGCCTTGAATGATACTCCCTTCTTTTTAAAATGTAGGTCGTTTTAGACTCTGCACGTAAACTAAGAAAATAACTATTTAGTAATTAATTTGTGTGCCAAATATCTAATTTACCTATCATTAATTGTTTTAGAATTATAATCAAAACTAAAAGAAAAATAGTTAGCATCATTTATTAAGGACAAAGTTGAGAAATTAATCAATAATTTGCCTTGAAATTCTAAAACGACTTACATTTTCAAATATTTTTTCAAATCTAAATCGACCCACATTTTGAAATGGAGGGAGTATGCTTGAGATTGATTGTTTGAAACTTTGAATTACAGAAAAATTAATGTATTTTCTTTCATATTTCACAGTGTTTTAAGAACTCAAAAATCGAAATATATTTAATTTGAATTTTCGTATCAATTCGGTTTGTCCGATGTGTGATTTGCAAACCTAATTTTTCTTGTTTTGTTAAGAAAAGTATTTTGACAAAAAAATATTTCACTTACATACAGCACAAGATCGACACAAGGAAATGTGACACAGGAATTATGTGATTAAACAAAGTTGTCACCTCTGCATGATCAAATGCAACGGTACAAGGCTCTTAAAAAAAATAAAATTAAAGTAAACCCTACAAAAAATGCAACGGTACAAAGCAAAATTCATGGTTTCCCATAAGACATTTAATACTACTACATTATAAGTATGATCAGAGCTTACAGAAGATGCAAGATTTATCTCCATTTCACCAATTCAGAAGATTAAAATTAAATAAAATAGTACTCCAAAGTACAGAAGAAATACTACTTTAATATTTTATCTCTAAAGTCCCAAAATTTACCAGTAACACGTAAAATAATATTTTTCTTTTATCAAATAATAAAAATTGACGAGAAAGTTCATTACCCAATGAGTGAGTGAGTTTAGGTTTTAAAAGGAGGAATAAATGGTGGTGATGACCAGTAGCTAACCCCTTCAGAAAACAGAGCCAGAGTCAGCCCAGACAACACCATTATTTGCATCTCTGCCAGCTCCAAACACTCCCACGTTCTTCCCCCTTTTCCCCTCTCCTCAATCAATTCCTTCTTCTTCATCATCAATCTGAATGTGCCATTTTTCTTCATTTTTGATTTCTTGAATCCTTTCCTCCACCCCTTCATTATGATTACACTACAAGGGGCAATGCTGAAGAAGAAACCAAAGCCCTTTTCGGTTTTCTCTCTGTTTCTCTGTTTCTTGATAGTTTCCCAGATCTGTTTCCGTTCAGTTGCAGGAGAAGATGTTGATGGAGCTGATCTTGATACCATCAGGGATGACAGCAAGAAGCTCCATTTTGACAACCCGAGTCTCCAGCAAGCTTACATTGCCCTTCAGGCATGGAAGTTAGCCATTTTCTCTGACCCTTTTAAGTTCACGCAGAACTGGATTGGTCCCAATGTGTGTTCTTACAAAGGCGTTTACTGTGCTCCCTCTCCTTCTAATTCTTCCCGGCTAGTCGTCGCCGGGATTGACCTTAACCACGCTGACATCGCCGGGTACTTGCCGCCGGAGCTCGGCCTCTTGACCGATCTGGCTCTCTTCCACATCAACTCCAACCGATTCTGCGGCGTTGTTCCCAAATCGTTCAGGAATCTCAAGCTGCTCTTCGAGCTGGACCTCAGCAACAACCGATTTGTTGGTGGGTTTCCGAAAGTGGTGTTGTCTTTGCCTTTGCTGAAGTTCCTGGACTTGAGGTTCAATGATTTTGAAGGGCCGGTTCCGTCTCAGATTTTCGACAAGCGTTTGGACGCTTTGTTCTTGAACGACAACAGATTCCGGTTCGGAATCCCGGAAAATCTTGGGAACTCTCCGGTTTCCGTCCTTGTTCTGGCTAACAACAACTTGGGAGGATGTATTCCGGGCAGCATTGGGAAAATGACCAAGACTTTGAACGAACTCATCTTGCTGAATGACAACTTGACCGGTTGTTTGCCGGCACAGATCGGGTTGTTGAAGAGGCTGACGGTTTTGGATGTGAGCTTTAATCATCTACAGGGATCCCTTCCGGCAACCATCGGAAGAATGAAGAGCTTAGAGCAGCTGGATATCGCTCACAACCGGTTCACCGGTGTGATTCCGGCCAGCGTTTGCAGGCTTCCCAGGTTGCAGAATTTCACTTATTCTTTCAACTATTTCACCGGAGAAGCTCCGACTTGCGCAGCCAGCCTGGGTGGAAAGGTTGGGGATGATCAGGAGAACTGCATTGCCGGGAAGAAGAATCAGAGATCAGCTAAGGAGTGTTCTTCTAATGATGCGAAGCCTTTTGATTGTAGAAAAGCCAAGTGCGGAAACTCGCCGCCGTCGCCGTCAAGTAGGAATAGACCTCCGGTTGGAAGATTGTCGCCGCCTAAGCCCAATAGGCCTCCCAGACCATTCAAGGGATCACCACCGCCGCCGCCGTCTTCCGCATCTTCGCCGTCGACGAGATCACATCCTCCACCACCGCCGTCCTCCACTCCTCCAACAACAACGCCCCCAACTCCTACCACACCGGTAAACCCTCCAACAACGCCGCCAACTCCTTCCACACCGGTAAACCCCGTCCCACCGCCACCCAAGGAAGAGGTTTCCCCCGGAACCCACTATAGGTCGCCTCCGCCGCCTGCTCCAGTTAACCCACCATCTCCTCCGGTGAATACTCCCACACCAAGTTACCAGAGCCCACCACCACCTCCTCCACCAGTCTATACTCCGACACCAACTTACCAGAGTCCGCCACCACCTCCACCACCGGTTTACCAGTCTCCTCCACCTCCGCCAGTTTACACCCCAACACCAACTTACCAAAGCCCACCTCCGCCTCCGCCAGTCTACACTCCTACACCAAGTTATCAAAGCCCACCACCACCGCCGCCGCCAGTTTACCAGCCTCCTCCATCTCCGGCACCAAGTTACCAAAGCCCACCTCCACCGTCTCCAGTTTACACCCCGACACCAACTTATCAAAGCCCCCCGCCGGCACCTCCAGTATATACTCCACCACCTACTTACCAAAGTCCGCCTCCACCACCGCCAGTTTATACACCAACGCCGACTTATCAAAGTCCACCACCACCACCGGTTTACACACCAACACCAACTTATCAAAGCCCCCCTCCACCTCCACCACCACCGCCAGCCGAATGTAATGAACCGGTCCCACCGCCACCACCATCATCCCCTCCGTATTCCTACACCTCACCACCGCCTCCATCCCCGTCGCCACCACCACCTCCGGTAGTATATTCATCACCCCCACCACCACCACCTCCCCAATCTCCACCACCACCAGTAGTATACCCATCACCGCCGCCACCACCGCCGGTGGTACATTCACCACCACCACCATCACCATCCCCACCACCACCTCCATCACCATCGCCACCACCTCCACCTGTATATTCTCCGCCTCCGCCTCCGCCGAAATCACCGCCACCTCCACCACCAACAGTGGCGGCTCCTCCACCGGAATGGAACGTGCCTCTTCCTCCAGTCGTAGGAGTCTCTTACGCATCACCACCACCCCCAACCATTCCATATTACTAAACCCCAAAAGGTACAGTATCCAACTAATATCTTGACCCTCAAATCAAATTTAATTTCATAATCAGCCATTTTTGTTTATAGGCTTATAGCTTAAACTAATTGAAACAATTTCTCTTCTTTTGTTTTGTTTTGCAGTAAAGGATTGAAATGGGTGGGAAGGATAATTATGACTTTTGCGCGGCTGCCATAATTTGTACTTTGGAGCAATGATTTTATAATTTGTTATAGCTGGTAGTAAGAGTATATTATGATCATATATGGGTAGTAGTAATTTTTGGGGGATTTTTTTTTTTTTTTTTCCATTTTGGGTTTGAGGCCTAATTTATTTCATTGTGATATTACAAGAAGATGGGATAACATTGTATTAATTGCTATACAAATGTTTATTTGTGTATAATCGAAATTTACATTATATCCATTTTTTCATTCAAAAGGGTGCGTCTTGAGTTATGTTTCTGGTTTCTGAGTTCTTGTAAGGTTTTGAAGTTTGAACTGGGCATCATAATGTTGTCCAGATGTTCGCATCTAACTCTTTCGAATGCTAGTTAACTTGGTATCTACGGTATTTCTCCAACATCTTTGTGTATATACTCCTTTTGTCTTTGTCTTAAAATTATTGTTAAGTTAAGATTTTATTTTTAGTACTCCTTCCGTCCCATAATTATTGTCCTATTTGAGTTTTCACTTTTAGTACAATTTGAACTAAAAATGAAAACTCAAACAGGACAATAATTATGGGATGGAAGGACAATTTAAACTAAAAATGAAAACACTAACGGAACAATAATTTCGGAATAGAATGAGTATTTTGGTATACTTCCCTACTTGTAATAGTTTCTCGGGTTTAGTTCCTATAGTGTTACTCTCATGAAGGCTATATCTTGCTTGCTTAATCGTATCAACCATCAAGCACATTCGGCTAAATAGCTATATTTGACTCGCTTATTCGTATCAACTTTGAAACTCTGACAATAACTAAGAAGCGCCATAGAGAATTTTTCCAATCAAAAAGTCTACATACGAATCAAAGGTAATGAACAAGCCCTTCATACAAAAGAGAGTAGGGCATTATTATAATCAATCTCCTACTGATTTACAAGATGGCAACCACCATCTCTAAACAATTCACTGATTTACAGAGGAAAAAAGGAAAGAACACTGTCACGTCGCGAATAACAGAAAACTAACCATGCACAACATCAAAAACAAAAAAACGATAATTCGCTGTGCAATCAACCACCAGATCTGCCTCAATCTCTGATAATACCTAAACTAGACGGCTTCACGAAATAGGAAGACTAACAACAAATCATCATGCACCATCTGAAAAGAAAAGTGCCTTAAAGCTCCTCACAAGATCATGAGCATTATCCAAAGCGAATTACTATGCATGATATATCATCTTTACTCTTTCTTGCCAATGCCTCAGCAGTCAAACGCCTGGCTGCCATTTGAGGATCTTTAATGGATTTCACCAAATCAACTGCCTCTTGGTTCTTCATTACCTGCAAATTTAGTTTTCACAATTTCTGTTAGCGGATACCTCACGCATGTCATGACAAATGAAACTTGTCCAAGGAAACAGATGAACAAGTTAGAAACTAGTTTAAAAACCACTCAATCTGCAGAGACATTTCTTTTCACTTACAGACATTCCCAACCTCAGGTTCAATTTCAATACCTCACGCCATCAACATATAATGAACCAGAGAGTCCAGAACTGGACAACCAAAATAAAAAAAGCTTCCTAATGATGATAGACAAACAAAATAAAAAGCATCCTAATGACGACCAATCACTTGATTTACCATCAACAAATTCCAGGGAATACAGTATGTTTTGTGAACATAGCCATAGTTCTCACAACAGATATTGTCATTAATGGAGAAAATAGCTTGAACGTCTACCCAGAATGTTCATGACACAAAAAAAGTTCACCTACAATCCAGAAACCAAAAAAAAAAAAAAAAACACGGAAATGTGGACCTACACTCCAGAAACCAAAAAAAGGGAAACTGGAGGACAAGCCAAATTAATAGTGCTCCTTATAAAGTATTAGTCTTACCTTCCATAAGCCATCACTGGCCAAAATGACAAACTCGATAGTAGAGTCAATGGGTACATGTCGTATATCTGGCTCCGAACTCAAATGAGCTTTAAGGCTTTGGTCACCAAAAGCACGCGCAACTGCAAGTTGACCATTAACTCGGGGCACATCTCCTAAAATAAGAATCTTTAAGTTGTTACTGCACAAAGCATGTGTACATGTCATTCAAAATAACTAAATTAACTGTTCTAACTAGAGGATGATTGCCTAGGAGAGAAGCCGCCGTAGTACAATTATTACCAGGAAGAGTAGTCACAAAGCCTCCTTGTTTCTCAATTCTCTTTCTTTCACTGTGTGGTTCATGATCCACCGTAAGTTGATTGGCAGAACCCCTCTCACACACAACAGCTCTGGAATCGCCTACATTAGCAATCCATAAATCTTTTCCATCAATTACAATAGCCGTCACAGCTGTTGAGCCACCAGGACCAAGTTCCACAGCATTCTCTAATATAAGCTTATCAGTAGAGTGATAAGCATTTCCAATCGCAAGCTTCGGGTATTCCCAAAAATTAGACTGCAGAAAAATAAATACAAGAAAAACAAAATTGAGTTTGATATCTACAGAAAATAGAACGCAAGTTATTACAGATCACATGCAGAACACAATATCTCAAACTACATCCAGAATCTGGGTAACTCGTACATAAACGCCCATGAAGGTAAGTATTATAAAAGAAATAGCTACACACAGGAAGAGGGAGAATACTATGATTTCTATTTTTTCCCAGAGTTTTGACCTTCGAAGTTGAAAAATATAGTAGCAGCTAAAAACAGAACATTATGTCATCAGTTCCAAAATGGCAGGACTAGAGTTAAACTGGAATTCAAGCTATATATCAACTACAACCTAAATCAATTAAAAAAACTCTCCATGAGAAAGTGAGAATAACAGGCGAATAGAATGCAGATAATGTCAACAAGATTCTCAGTGGTGTTCTACCTGTTCAAGTATGTTGTTGAAGAGATTTTCTTTTAGGTAACTGGGGACTCGATCACCAAGGTGGCCATCAAAGATTGCAAACAAGCCAAGCGAATGGCCATTTATTTTTCTATATTCAGCAACATGATAATCTTCCATGTTGTGCCCTGACTTCCCTTCCACCAAGTGAAATCCATGTGATACTCTATTTATTGATGATTTAGACTTGCATTTTCCTTTGCCTGTGTCAGGTGGGGGTGAATTACAACAAATAGCTCGCTGCAATCCCGGGCCAAACACTCAAACAGTCAGTTTCTGAACAAATTTATTATATGTGATAGCATCAATAAACGCAACAAAAAGAAAAGGTCTCTCTAGTAATAACACGGAACACCGAAAGTTAGCATAGTCAATTGACATTCATGCATAACTACGTCGAAAATGTGGAATCACCAGCCATCGGTCATTTAAAACCTTCTAACATTTTCTAACATTATAATGAACTAGTATTGTAAACTGCAAAGGTTTAACCTTCATGTACACACACAGCAATTAAAACATACCAATAGGACAAACCACCCAGGGTTAAAGCTCTGCTACATTTTTGAACGTGTAGACGGTGGTAAAACATTCTATCATCAAAATATGAATCGTCCTCGGAATAATCCAGTTAAGTTTACAGGTAGGAGGATGTGAAAACGCTATAACTTCATTTCATCACGGTATGTAATCAGAGAACTTGCAATAAAGCAGTTCTATCTTCAATCATAGTATTTCAACACAGTCACTGATTTTTAAACACTCTTTTAATGAATTACTCTCTCCTGTCCTAAATTTACATGGCACAAATTAACACTAAGTTAGTTCAAATTTGTGTCTTGTAATTAGGACAGGGGGAGTACCTACTAGAATAACAATCTGGGGAGAAAAACAGAGAATTAGTCTTTCAGACATCAAACTCCTCATATACACAATTAACAATTTCATAATCAATTCAATACATAGCAATAAGGAAAAAAAAAAAAGAGTACAGAACTGCAAAATAGGGTATCCTTGAAACTTAATTCCATGAGTGTAATAACTTCATATGAAACATCAATAAGTCCAACCGTTGAAGCTCGTCTCGAAGTTCCATTACTTTAAAATGATTGCATAGAAATTTGTTATTCAATTGAACATGATCGCAAAGTTTGAATTTTTAGCAATCTAAATCAGGAAAAAAAATCATGATAAAAAATTATGTACGGGTGAATCACTTGTGTAGAACATTTAAAGAAGCAGGAGAAGAGGAGTTCGAACCTTGATTTTGGACAGAAGACCACTGCGATCAGCCTCCATGACTGAATTCACCATGCTCTGCCTTCAAGATTCATAAAAAAAAAAAATAAAAAAAATTAACCTCTTGATTCAAGCTCCAGAGCAGTCGAAATTCAGTAGCAAAGTTTAGTTTTTTCTGATTGATCGATCAGAATCAAAATCAAAGTTTCTCAGCTACAGTTGTCAGGTGTTTCCGAAGGAAATTGAAGGAGTTGGAAGAAAGAGAGAAAAATAGTTTGGTTTGGGTTGGTTTGGTTCCGGTGGAGAAAGAGATATAGGGAAGAAATGGATGAAATACAGAAGAATTGCGTGTTTAGGAGAAAATTCAAAGGCGTTTACTTCATAAATTAGTTGGGTTGATTTTTTCCCCAGATGAGGTCATCTTTTCAAAATTTCAATCCTTACAAATATGACACACAAAAGAAGGGATTGATGTTTATCTAATTTAGCTTTTCAAATTATTTTCCCACAACATAATTAATATGCAAAATTAATTCTTGGATATTAATTGTTCCTCATTTTTTATCTTTTCCGAGCTTTGTAGTTTTGTTTTTTTTTTTTTTTTAAATACAATGAATCCGTGATCTTCCCTCCTAAATTTTAAACACGATTACCACAATTTGCAAAATCCAAAAAAGATTTTGAAAAACATTGGGATATTATTCCCGACTTTGTACCTCTACCAGTTTTAGACAATTTCCCAGCAAATTAATGAAATTTCTTTCTACTTAAAAAAAAAAAGAGTTTTAAACATGATCTAAAAAAAAAAAGTAGGAATTAAACTTGTAATTTTTAATAAAAATTTGATCGCGTTAAAATAGATTTGATAGTGATTATTGAGTAAGGTGTTTAAACGGAGTGTCCTAGTCAATGGTTGCCAAGAAAGTTTTCATTTGCATTTTTAGTACCACACGAAATATAGATGTTTTTACATATTTGTTTGTGATAGGGAATTATTAAGCTACAAAAACAACCAAAAATTTTATTAAGAACTTGAACTCTATTTCCCTCTATAGGTGTAGGCGCTGAATAATTCTTTCTTAAAGTTAATTTTTGGTATGAGGTTACAAATTTTGTACTACAAAATTTTTTAAAGGAATAAGTTTTAATAGAAGATCAATTGATCAAATGTGCACGGAAGAAATGTGTTTGTCTGTGAGTATGTTTAATAAAAAATGAGTTTTAATGGAGGATGAAACGAGCATTGGGAAAAAAAAAAAAACAAAACAAAACAAAAAAAAACAAAGTTTATTCTCTAATTGGAAGTTTTTGCTCTCTCTTGTTATTGGTAATTTTTGCTCTCTTAATTGGAGATTTGGTTCTACTTTCTAGGCTTGTTGCAAAAATTTTTCTCCATGACTCAGAGAATTTCAATAAGAGCATCCACAATGATTTACACTATTGTGAGTGTAATGTCATAAATTTTTGATAATATACTTTTATTTCATTTTTCACTATATTAGTTTACACCGTAAAAGTATAATAAAATAAAATAATTATAGTATTATCATAAATTCACATTAAATGCATTTTGACACCAAAAAGTGTATTACACGGTGTAAGAATTCTTACACCGTATATTCTTACACCGTATAATATTATTACACTCAACATAATGACAAACAGTATAATAAAGTAGTTATTTACCACCATTGTGGATGCTCTAACTAGACAACGAAATTTTTGCCGTTATTTGAAGTTGGGAAAAAATGGTATTCATACCCAAAGTTTTGGGCTCATCGTTAATTATATCCCATTGATTTTCGGTTAGCCAATTTTGTCCTTACTGTTTGAAATTTTTGTCAGTTCTGCTCAATTGACCCAATTTCTGTTATTTTTAACCAAAAATACCCTAATAGTTTTAAAAAATTATAAAAATAACCCCCAAAATATAAAAATAACAAAATAATCCTTTTTATTCATTTTGTTCTATTTCATTTTATTTATCTTTACTAGTTTTCATAACCATCAAAATATACTGTATCATCTTTAAAAATATAATTATTTATTTTCAAACTTTATTTTTCATGTGCAACACATGTGAGTTGGGTCCAGGGGTAATTTTGTCATTTTAATTTTTTTAAATTTTTAATGTTATTTTTTTATTCGTTATTTTTTGAGATTCTTTTTCTTATATTTACTGACTTGTATATATTGATACTAGTATAATTATTAAATTTCAATAATTAATTTATCTTTTATTTCATAGATTATAAAAAGATTAAGATAAAGAAAATGAGGAACAAAAAATCAAGTTGAAATAAACATGAAAATTAATAGTTTCTAATTCTAAATAAAAAGTAAAAAAAACTATAAAAAAAATCTGCAAAGACAAGTCTTTCCTCCTTGACTTCCTCTGATTCATAGGTAAGTTATGGAACATAAAAATAATATGAAAATTAGACAATTATTTGAAACATGAAAATGTGCTAATTTAATTAGTGCACAACGATGAATTTCTGTGAATTTGGTTAATACTATTTTTATTCTTTTTTAACAATTATTAATTTTTTTTGGCCGATTGCTAAATTATATAAGCAATCATTGAATTTCATGACACAGATAAATACATGTATTTTTTAGCAGAATAATTAATAAGTTATACTACCTGACTTGTATATATGTTGGTACTAGAACAATTACTAAATTTCAAGAAATAATTTACCTTTTGTTTTTCAATTTCGAGGATTAAAAAATATTTAAAAGAATACATGTATTAATCTTTGTCATGAAAATGTGCTAATTTAATTAGTGCACCTTATTTACATATTTTATGTCTGAGTTTTTACATAAATTTTAGCATCTTATTATTTAAAAAGAAATGCTTGAGCTAAACTCTTAATTTGAACAGAAGTTTCTTTTTTATATCCAAGAAAAAAAAACTCTTGTTTTAGGATGGACGGAATGATACAAGTTAAACAAATTTTTTGCACATGGAAAGTGCATTTTTCAACATCAACCGACCAAAATTACAAAGCAAAAATTCGCAACTCATCCTTAAAAAAAAAAAAAAAAAAAAGTCATACATCGGTCCATGCAATTATTTTGCTCTTCAAACGCCCAGACTCAAAAATTCATAATGCATTTTCTTGGGGGTCCACGCGCTTCTTTTCAAGTCAAACAAGTGAAGTTATATGATCCCCTCTCAAGTAGTAGGCAATTCAAGCTTCAAAATCAAACACAGGTGTCACATGCAACTAACTTGCAACTAAACCTAAACAAACATCCCCCCCAAGTCTGGTAGGTCTCAACTTTGAATTGGATTCCATTCATTTGACCAAAACTTTGTCAATCTTTGTTTCGTTCTCCTTTAAAATCGTTTGTTTTGATTTTTTTAATGTGTATTTTTAGGTGCTTTTTGTATTGAGAATGTAAAAAGGTGTATCGAAAATGTAAAAAGTATACTGTGATGGGATAGTTATTACTATATTAATTTGAAAATATCATCAAGAAAAGGAAACAAACAAAAAATTTCAATAACGTGTTATCCATCGCACGAATCGGTTATATAAAAAAAAATATAATCTCATAAAACAAGATACATCCGCCATCGTCCTCCTTTGTCGCCCGTCTCACAAAAAGAAAGAGAACGAACAAGCAATTACCTTAGAGATGGGAAACACAAATATAGCCAAATGTGTGTCACAAGGTACAAGCAACAAAACAAAAGGAGAAAGAGGTACATTTAAAAGAACTCAGATATACGGTGAAACCTCTATCAAACTCCACTTGTGTGTATCTTTTCTATATTTCAGTTGTAAAAAGGTTACAACAGGACATACAAAATTTATACTGTCCTCTTAGCCTACCTCTGATGATATAAAACAACCACCTAGGTCTAGAAGGAACAAAAATCTACTGGGACATAATCATCTGCGAAAATGAATATTTACAACCGCCGGCTGCAAGTACACAGTTTGCTGAATTGAAAGCGCGAGCGGTAAGAAGGGATGGAAAAGAAACAAACAAAATTTTTTCGTCCGATTATCTGTGTTACCAGCTTCAGGTCCTAAAAATAAAAATGACAACAGGAATCTGAATGATAATGAATCAAACAAGGAGAAAGGGATACTATGTTCTTACTTCTCTTATACTTGAGCTTGAAAACTTCAACCAAAATAAGTACGTACCAGGTTTGATTTTGAACTTAAGGATATTGGGCTGCCTCCTTAAAATGAATTTGATTGGATGGTCAGTAAATTGTCTGTGTCGGTCAGTCGCCGAAATCAGCTGCAATAATAGGTGAGCACAAAGTCAACAACTAAACAAAGGCCTAGCAGGTACCAAAAGGGATTACAGAATTACGCTAAATGTAATGATCTATTCACCAGTTTATTCTACAAAAACAGGCAATGAGAATTTTATGTCCATGGATGGTCAAGGAAGGGAAGGGGTGGGGGAGTCAAGGGGAAGCGGAGAGAGATAAGAGATTCATGCAGCAACAGGAAAATAGGAGAGGATTTAACGACAAGCTATTACTAAACATTAAAATGAAAATTTTCCTATACAATGAGCCAAAAATGAGCTGACTTTATGATTTTTCGTAGTCCTTGTCTTCAGACACAGGAAATCAAAGAAACAGAACATAACTAAGAATCAAACCTTTTCATCATATCGAAAGAGTGATTGGTCAAAGTAGGGGGAAGGGCTCTGAGACTGACAACTAAAAGGCAAAGAGGAAAGCATCTTCTTCACAAACTGCAAAAGGGGACAACAAATCCATTGAATCACCATTAATCCATCAAAACTCACAAAGCAATACCACTGATTTGACATCGCATTTTGCATGGCACCAACCTGAGATCCGCTGCTAGCTTTAGTTTTATTGGACTTCATTTGCTCAAGGGCATGAATATTGTTCGAATGAGTTGATATGTATCTCATATACAATGAACTTTTTCCAGACACGTGAAAGTGGTCACAGAACCGTTCAAACAACGTGCAGAGCTCTTCCGAAGAGTTCTGGAAGAGATCAGAAGCAAAGTTATCAGCATGACATCAAAGAAAGGTGCAAAACGTTTTTTAGAGGCTATGAAGGTTTTGAACTTAATTCAAATACCTGATAAAATGCTACTATATCAGTTGTCTCCATGTTATACACGGCAAAGAATGCAGGATGGCTATCAGCATTTCGAGAGACCTGCAACTTTAAAAATGATCCAATAAGCATATTTTATTGATCTGTAGACCTTCTAATATAACAAAGAAACTGAGGAAATGCATGAAGAAAAAGCAGGTGGTGCCGTCATGTAACTATGCTGGAAGAAATAAAGGAGATGTACGTATAGGTGAATATCAACGTTTACCAAATTATGAAGCTTACTACGAATCTAGGGAAGGAGTGAGATAAGAGTATTAGAAAACCATTCCTCAGGGAGGTCTACAATAAAAACTATAAATTAAGTTAACAGTTTATATTATGTGAAACTCACACTGGCCAGCTGTTAATCTTAAATGGACGTGATAGAGTTACTGCAGGTATGATGGTGTTTTTGGTGAAACTTAAGGGTCAAAGTAGTTCAAACAGAAGATAAAAATAAATGTTTTATAAGTATAGCAATTCACTTAAGGAAGCCGAGGATTTGGATAAGAAATTTTTCTGGGTCGTAATACCTCTTCACCATTTTAAATTGCCAGTAATCAGCAGAGTGAAATGCTTAGTCAATGCTGTTTGCAACAGATAAATTCTGATGGATGAAATGAAAGAATAATGCCAGGTTTATAATTTGACGGCAGACATTAGAATCAAAGTGGTGCAGGAAGGTTCCAGAAATATGGATTCATACGAGGTTTTAGGAAAATACCTAGAATCTTCTTAGAATTGAATTTCCTTTCAGTTTACTTTCCTATTTGCTATATTACGTTAATTATTAATTAGTTTTAGGCAACCCTAGTAGCTTAAGGAATAAACCAAACATCTCTATAAATATGGAGGTTCTGCAGCACTTGTGATACACGGTTTGATATTATTATAATTTTAAGCTAAAAAACTTTGAAGTCTATGTCTTTTATTAAATCCCTAAAGCTAGGGTTTGCCTATCTCGTTAGTTTTCAATTCAGCCAGCCTATTCCTATCACAAATGCATCACATGATTCTTAGTCCGATTTTGCTGTGTGGAATATTTAATTGAAGGGTCCCACTGGTTGCAGAATGACACCCCAACTTAAAAGAAAGAATATTACAATGAAAGAAAAATCTTACCCCACCATCAACACTGCCAAATTTTATCAGCAGGTGATGCCGATCCAAAAATTGCACCTGATTAAAAGGATGTAAGTACACATGAACTTGATTTTAATAATACTAAAATATGCAAATGATGAGATGTGATAGTAAGGTTTCAATGCAGGAAATCTTTTAGGGAAAAGAAATACATGGAGACTTACCTTCCAGATTATCAAATCCACATAATCTTGAAAGTGGAAATAAAACTTCTTCTTCAGGCATTGCATTCTCTGCTTAACAAACAAAAGTGATATGTAAAAGAGATATACTATCTCTTTAAGTTTAACTCCACACAGAAAAGGGACAATCCAGAATGCATCAGACTGAATCACATGGTGTGATCTTTCAAAAACCATAAAAGAGGAGACTCAAATTCAGAATAGAGTAAAACAAGTGACATATATAATTGAAATAAATTCGACAGGACTAAATGCAAAGGATGAAATAGAACTCAAGATGGTATGCAAAGAACTACCATGTGGAATAAGGAAAAATAATGAACTGTTTCTTTTGTGGGCCCAATTGTAGGCTCAAGGGTAATTTTCATACGCATTCCGCTCGAATTTCAGTTTTCTTCATACAAAATAACACAACCTCATAGGATGGAAAAGGAAAATTCAATGCAACTAATGGTTGAACTGGGAACTCAAGAAAACAACAAGATTATCAAGAAATACTGAACTGTCCAAACTAAAAATCAGCGGAATAATATGATGCTGCTCCCTCAAATAATCCAGAGGAGTTTCTAAGCGAGGATGGTCAGTAAAGAAAGCAAGGCTTCCAAATAAAGTGTTTTTTTGAGGAACAGTAGAAAAAAATGCACCAAACAGAAGCTCAGAAAAACACACCAGGGATGAAAAAGAAAAAAGACAACTCTAGTCGTCACTGAAAGCTACATGCTCAAGTAGAATTTTGTCTGCAGATACCAGCAAAGACAAAAGAAGCAACCAATGTGGCGCCTGAATTCAAGCCACATAAGTTAAATTTAACAGCGAGGCAACACTCACTTTTCTTGCCCAAGAGTTAATTGATTCATTCCTACATAAAAGGAATGTTCAGGATACGACATATAACCTTTTTACCAAATGTAACTATCCGAGGATCACCCTGCTCACTGGAATAGGCCCCTTACTCTGGATTTTCAACAAACTTCTAACTGTTCGGCATTTCATAAACTTGCAAAAACGGTCGAAATTGTAATATTCTTTCATCAAGAAGGTAAGATTCTGATTTTAGTAAATTCATATTTTGATTTTCAGTGAACGCTCAGAGGAGAGGGCCCAGCTAAGCCATCACTCACAAGTCAAAACCCGCAAGAGTCTGTCTGCAGATACCAGCAAAGTGACCTCACTCTAATTTACCAAAAAGTAACCTTAAGTTCAATTCATTCCATAAAACAGAATTCAAGTAGTGAAACAGATTCCTCCGGACTAATATGCTTGAAAAACAGAGGTAAAACAATAACTGGCTGAAAAAAAAAGGAAGATCTTCCATGCCTTTGGCTAATTAATTCATCTTTGTTTGAAGTTCCAAAAATAGAGCAAATTAACATTTATAGATTCCCGATGGTTAAACAATGTATTCTTAACTAAGAAGTAATCAAAACAAAACAATTTCACATCAAGGCTTCACCACAACACAAAGAATAATGCTCATAAAGAAGAAGTGATAAACTACCATATGAAGGAACCAAAAGATTCTAATTCAATGGAAAAGATACATGAAAAACGAAGAACAACAGGCTGTGCAGCAAAAAAGGTAACTAATGAATTTACACGGGAATTCTACGAAAAACAATAGCGATATTCATGAAACTAACCAATGAGGGGTCACTTTCTTCATTCCAAATACCCTGAAATATGAATGAAAGTAATCGCTGCTTTAAACCACTCAGGAAACGAGTTTCTGTAGCAGGTTGGCTATGATGCAGACCGTTTGAAGCATGATTAACAGGCCCTTGATGCAATTTACTTTTCTCAGTATCTACCATGGACTGCAATCAGTTTTCACATATCAGTGGAAAAAAAAATATTTCATAGAAACAAAGAAGAACATTTTATAATTTTAAGACTAATTTCAACAATTTAAAATCGTATAAAAGTTCCGTGCAACTGAGATAATGACATTAAAATGTGCGAAACTCCAAGAGCACTTTATTTGGAGCACATGAATTCAATATCAAACATCGCCAATAAGAATTTAGTTCTACTCCTCGAGTCTAAATTATTAAGAGCTTTTCAATGATAAACATATCAAATCCCTTCTATCCAAAGCAATTATCTTTAGCGGAACATTCAATAGCAAAGTGAAAATAATCTTTAAGCAAAACACATGCCTGAACACTGGAATGAAGGAAGAGCTCATCATCTTCATGACAAAAATCACCAATTGTCCTGACATCAACAAGGTTCCCTGAGTCTCTGATTTGGAGAATGTGTATCCTTTGATAGCGAAGTGAAACAACAGCCAGTAAATCATCATACATAAAAACACCCATACTATGTGCCAAGTTGACATAATCGTTGCAGAAGACCTTCTCGTCAAGAACAACACCATCTTCCAACCTAAATGAACACAATAAAACCGGAAGAAAAGAAAAAAACCCACAACGACTTAACAACCAGTATAACAAAAAAGTCACGCAACAAATACACATGAAGTGCAAACCTTAATAAATGGAAAGTTATCTTTTCAACTGAAGGGACACCTTGAACTGCATCTCCAACAGCAGGTGCACCTTGAATTGATGTGGTTGAAGTAGCAAAGAGTCCAAATTGATTACTCTCCATGTAAAGGAAGAAATCTTTGCATATAAGCTCACCGCTTGAAGCAAGAGTGACAGAGTAGAGTTGCGTAAAGAAGCTTTCAAACTTTTTAGCTTTTGGAGGAAGAGTATGAGTATCAGAACATTCTCCTTTACACGAAAATGACAGCCATGTTGGTCGATAAACAATTACTTCCTGATGATTTCTACTGAAACTTATCAGATACAGACCATCCTCTGTGAACTTACGAAAGGAATGGTCAGGACAATCCACATCATATATTGTGTGACAAGGGACTATGTTTTCATAAAATCGCCTGGCGCTGGAAATCTGAAGCATCAATTTTCCAAAAAACATAGAAACAAAAAAGAATTAAAATCGTTAACAATGGGGGAAAAGCCTGACAACCTAGCAGAAAATGAAAAGAAGTGCATCATTATTCTTAAAATTTAGATAGAAACATCGCAGGGTGTTTGATTGAACCAGTCACTAAGATAACATACAATAAAGGAAAGCACGAGGTCTAGAGCCCAGAATAGAAATTTTTTCCCCTGCATTTCCCTTGTGTTTCAAATAATAATACAGACAGCTAGACAATGTTAGTGCAATCAGTTGTTCCAAAGCTTCTTGGAATTTCAAGTTAGGATCATATTCAACTGGTATCTAATTAGCCTTCAGGCCATAATGTATTAACAATTAAGCAAACACATTGAATCACGAATACTATCACTGCAGCCTATTTTTAGCTAAAATGAACTCAGTCTAAAAATCAATGATCACAACAAATATATTGACAGTCTAAAAAACCCAGGAAAGGAAGTAAAACCTTCGCAAACACAAGAGTAAACCTACTAGAGAAGGTAGGAAGGCTAGATTATACATACACTGGTACCAGGAGCAGGGGTGCAAATCTGGCGGTGGAAAATCCTAGCAGTGACATTGTTTCTTTTAAACATCAGAAAAAGAAGAAAAAAATGGCCCTTCAAAAAAATCCTATCTTTTCACTCTTCAGAAATGATTCCTTCCAAAATCATCCCTTTACACCACAAACTGGGTTTTTCCCAAAGAGAAAACTTTATTCATCAATGACTCCCTGAATTGAAGTTGTGGGTTCTTCTTAAAAAACTTTTCCATTCAAACCCAGATAGTAAATTATACTTGGTGGGTTATAATTTGATGGTATTAGGCTTTGCAGAAAGGCAGAGAAGCTGAAAGATGGTTCTTTTTCTACGTTTTTGTGGCTGAAAGAGATGCTGGGTGTGTGTGTGTGTGGTTATGGGTTAGAACGGAGGGTACAGTTACAAAAATAAAGTCGAAAAATGAGAGAGATTTTTTAGCAAAAAAGATATGGATTATGGGCGTATACAGTAAACACGCGATTTCTTGATGTTTGTGAACAAAATGGTTGGAAGTACAATTTCCGAGTACAGTTTGAGAGGGCGTCGAGAGGGGTCAACAGTGGTACAACGTGACGTTTGTTTTTAAGTCTAAAATTTTTCTTTGAATTTTTTTTTTTTAACAAATTTTCTTTGGAAAAATTTGAAATACATTCGTAGTATAACATTTTCTTATCCTAATAACACATAAAAAAGTTCTTCGGGTATTTCTTGAAAAAAAGAAATTAATAGGGAAGATCGAGTGAGATAATAATAAGAGCCGAGTTGGGGATCAAACAAAATTTTAAAAATAAAAAATCATATTTTATATGTAATTATTATAAGTATATTCCGTCCAGTCCTTATTATAAGTCATTTTGATTTCTTAAAATTTTTAAAAAAATCAAAATGACTTATAATAAAAACTAAAGAAGCGGATTTTTTTTTTAAATTTGAATTTTTGTAGTTCGAAGCACCTCTATCTTGTGTCACTTTTTTTTTTAAAATAAAATAAAAGATAAATTTATTTATTTATTAGAAAATATTCAACAGGGATTAATGAAAAAAAGATACAGCTAAAAAATCACAACTTATAAAAAAATCACAACGTCATTATTGTGTTTCATATGGATAAACTTATCCCCTTTACTTACTTAAAACGAAAACATTTGAAGACACTTGGTAAGTCCATATTTTATGTTTTTCCTCCAAAAGCCAAAAGTTCTTCACAAAAAAAGCTTACACGTAGCATGCTTCTCCTGCTACAGAATGCTCAAAATCTTCCCGCTAAAAATTGATCTTTATTTTTCATCTCTGATTTTAGCATATATCGGAACTCAATGACTCCAAAAAATCGCATAGTTTTCAATGACTCCTAATTTCAAATTTTAGCCATGTACATTTATTATATCGGATAATTTTCAATCATGTGTTAAACTCCATATTTTTAGTATCACAATTTTAGCTCCTTCCCGTCAATTCCTCGACAATATCATGTTCTCATCCAAGCCATTATCTTTCAACTTGAAATTCCTAATTTCATGCTATCAATTACTGTAGATGAAAAAATCCCACAAAATTCTCACTCCATCGACAAAGAATTCCATAATCTTAGCGGCAGTTTAGAATTTGAAAATTAACACACAATCTCAATCAATTCTAGATTAAAAAATCTCTTAGTTGGTGAAATGGGAAGGTTCGTGGTGGTGGGGGTAACATGGATTACCGAGTTCCTCAATATGCATCCCTGCAACATGCCATCGTAATGAACCAAATTTGATATCTGCCATCTCCGAATCAATCTAAGATGTCTCCATTAAGTTTGATCTCTACAATTCTGATCTTCATCAATAAAACCATCGCCAACGGGGTTTGATCTCTGCCACTCTTAAGTAGATCCAGCAACAATACAGAGTTCATTTGTGTAATTTTAGAGATAGATTAGAATCAAAAAATCAACAGTCGATATTCATTTTATTTTCTTCAATTAACGGTAAGGGTCTACAATGAAGTACACGATGCTATCATTGTTTTGGTTTCAGATGTATATAGGTAGCAAGAGATGTTTGACAGTGCATTTCAAGCCACTACGTACGGTCAGCAATGGGTAAGTTTTACTGTTCTAACCATTTAATTGTTGGATATAGTACTCCCTCCATTCACAAATAGATGTCGCTGGAGAGATTTCACAAAGTTTAAGGAGATAATAATTATCTTGTTAAAATACTATAATACCCTCATTTATTCTTAATTCAATTGTAGTCCCAATAAAATTTACTTCTAATACAATTCTACATTAAACATCACTACAATTTTCAATGTAAGGGTAATATTGGAAAAAATTGACAAAATATGCCTCGATTTGTGAGAACGACATCTATTTTGGAATATTTGGATTTTCCTCCAACGACATCTATTTGTGAATGGAGGGAGTAGTTGATAAAGTTTTAAATATGGGTAATTTAGGGACTTAAATTTGATAAGAGTACTTGGGCTCTCCAGGATCTCCTCATGAAGATAGCATTGAATTCGTAATATAGAGTTGATTTGCGTAATGGATAAAATGTGACGATTTATTATTTAGTGTAATACATTCAAAAATGACCATCTAAGAGCACCAGCTTCGTTCGTAATTTAGGGAAATGACCATGCGACCGTGTGCTGTAATACATAATTTCAGATTCTTATTTTTTTATAATTATTTTTTAAAGCTTTGGAATGTGGCCAATAAGGCGATTGACCTTCAGAATATGGAGAAGGGACATATGGTATTGTTATCCTGTAATTTTTAATTATGTGATGTGCTCAACAGAATTATGCATAAAAAGCATCCCTCACCACGCCATGAATCTGGAACATTTGAATACACAGTTCATTTTGGCTTCAAACTTTTTCCAGTACCATAGTAATTATCTCTTTTTACTGGAGTTTTTTTTTTTTTTTTCACACGACATTTTGATTATGAGTTTTATAAAGACATCTTCATTTCATATGCTTTTGCACCGTCTTGCATCTAAGTTTTCTCATAATCAGTTTAGTGTCTGTACGTCAATTAAGATCAGGATATGGAAATGACCATCTAAGTGCACTCTATTGTTTTACTTTTCATCTAGGAATTTTTGTAAAATAGAGTAGGTTTTAATTTGACAAGAACTGAATCAGGAATATCAAAAGTCCATAAAAATGTCTGGTAATTTGTGATTGATGGTTACAACAAATACAAGTTGTACTTTAAGGCTGAACTTTGAATGTGCTACGTACTATCATATTTAGGTAAGAAGATGGGAGTCCAGGGAAATACCGAGTGTGGATTGAACATAGTCATGCATATGTTTGTTTTATTTTATTTGATTTTAAGAAGAGACATGTGAAACCTTTTGCCTATAAATACATTCAGGAACTTACGTCCACTCAACGTATTTCCTCTTTTCCAGTAGAAACACAGGAAGTAATTTCGAACCTTCAAAATTTAGTGTCTAAATTTCATTTTTATGTAATAGTTAAAGTTGGCAGAAGTGATGTTATGGATATGCATAATGTTGCGTACTCTATAATGTAATGTAATAGCATGGGTACCTTAACGTAATAAACAGATATTTTCTCAAAAAAAAAAAAAATACATTCAGAGTGTAAACAACTCGTAAGATAATATTTTGTCTTTTTGATTTTTAAGATGCTAATATCTTTTCTTGATTAATTAAGAAAGGGTTTCAATATTTTAACTATTTTCGTTGTTTTCTATTTTATTTCATGGAGGGATGATTTGCTGAACTACTCCTATTCAGCTACTCTAATTCAGCTACTGTTTCTTAAAGAAGTCGATGTGAGAAAGTTAGAGCAGTCAATGGAAAGAAAGAGAAAGAAAAAGGAGTAACAACTAGGGCGAAAATATACATGTAATCAATAGCAAGTATATAAACCCACAAGTAATCTGTAGTTTATGGTCTCTTGCCATTTGTAGTGTAAAAATGAACGCATTTTTAATATGAATCACTTTTCTATAATGAAATACAAGTCAAAAGAGGAAGTCCAAATGTAAAATTATAATTATTTTTCACAACTATATATTTATTATTATTATTATTATTATTATTATTATTATTATTATTATTATTATAGTAAAATACACGGAGGCCGGCCGGGCATCGCCTGGGTCAAGTATCTAGAATAAATTTACCGCACAAAATAATGATTGTACCACAATGCCAGATTTTTTATTGTTAAAGTTACAACATTAACTATCGATTGATACCCACAAAATTTAAAAATTAGATCTGTTATGATTAAATTTTCTTGAACCATATCAGGTGACGAACATCTTCAATGATCCTTTCATCTCATGTTCCTTGTTTTGTGCAAATGAACTAAAGTTAAAGATTTTCGCTATTTTTTTTAAGAAAATATTTTCGCTATTGATTCATACGAGAACTAGAATATTAAGGAAGGCAAAAACTAATTTTCACGTTTTATTTTAACTTCTTTAATTATAACTAGATGCTTGGCTTGGATAGATGTCCGGGCGCCCCCTCTAAATTACTATTTTATTAAAATCTAATTGAATTACAATTTTTTGAGGAATTAATTTGGCGTATATATCATTTATGCTATGGTTTGGGGTTTAAAAAAATATACCTATAAATCTGAGGTTATAAGGAAATAATAAATAATTAGTTTACAAGGCATTATTCTTAATTGCTGGATTTAGGTATTTTTATTTTTTGTTTATATTAAGCCTGCAAAACTATACGATTGGACATTTGAGTTTGAATTAATATATCCATTCGTTTGAAATGTAACTGATCCTTATTTGTAGTAAAACATGTGTTTTTTTTTTAAAAAAAAAAATTATATAGCTTCTAATTAAAAGAGACTTACACGTGGTAAAAAAACTTCTGAAATCTGAAATATGGTGCATTGGAGCAAAAACAGATGCATACGTAGTTGCCACATAAGCTTCATGTCTTCTGCTTTAATAGGGTAAAAGGGATTATCGTACTTCTACATTTTAATACAATACGGCCGCATAAACGTTAATTTTACCTTTTCCTTATCTTAATGAAACCTATTGTTTGAGCACAATAACAAAACTAGTCTCAAACATTTGGAAGGTTGATTATAACTAAAATTTTCTTTCTCCAAAAATTATAAGGCTCTGTTTGGTTGCATTGAATTGGGACCAAGAATTAGAATTGGAGCTCTCTAATTCTAATGTTTGGTTGATAAAAATAGTAGTCTAAGAATTAGAATTAGAATTCGTTTTGGGATTCAATTCTTTGTTTTAAATTTTTTGTGGGAGTAAATAATTCGAATTCAAATTCAAGGGACTTAAAGAAAAGACGCGGGTCCAAATCGGGTCCTTTTCAGGTTATATCCTAAATGGGTCGCCTCTCATTTTTTTTCCTTTTGACCTTGTTTTTTTTAAAGAAAATATTATAATAGTTTTTTTCCCAGCGCTGTTTTTTTTTCTTTTTCTTTTTTTTGCTTTCAGCGCTTGCTTTGTTGTTTCTTTTTCTTTTTGTCTTTCTTTTTTGGGCTCTTTGTCTTATAATAATTATT